TCAGAGGCAAACTATGGAACATGAATAAATGGGGCCTAGCAGAAAAAGAGCAGAGACAGAGCCTTTCTAAAATAGAGTCCCAAAAAATAAAAAAATAAAAAATAAATAAAATGGAGTCCCTTCGGCTTTCCTACCTCATCTCCCTGCTGTGGGATTTTTATCTTCCTCATTCTTAAGGGGATGTTGAAGAGCCAAGGTCTCCTCTTCGGTAGCCTCTTCAAGTTGAAAGCAATGGCAGACCGTGCCTATTGGGAGGCATAAAAATCCAGAGCTATCTGACTAAATGAAGGGCTTCTGGTTGTAGGTTGTCTCGCTTGGAGCAGCAAATGAGGCCTCATCCCAAGAATAGGATATCTAGGTTTGGAGGCCATGCAGCAACAGTAGCATCCACAGCAAGGGAAAAATTCCTGCTGTAATTACTACTAATGTTTTCTAGACAGTGAACCCAACCAGAGATACCTTTAAGTTTTACCTCCATGGGCCTACTGCAGGGTGACTGACAAAGGATTAATAACCCTCCCATATTTTAAGAACATCTTAATCAGAGGCCGATGCCTTTTTGAGCCTCTAGCCTCCAGCCTTCCCAAGGCCATTGAACATTTGCAGGTGATAACTCCGGGAAAGACCTCTTTAGCCATACCAGGAGTTTCTGTTTCCTATGGTGGGCTTTACGTTAGTGAGGATGTGAGGATGTGGGGAGGGATTTTATCAGTTATAGTGTTTTCTCCTCCCAAGTCAAAGTGGCTCAAACTGTGTGTTTTTCACCTTCTTTCAACTCTAAAGTTCCCAAAGTGTAGCTTGAAGTTTAAAAAGCAAACTCTTTCCACCATGGGGACACACAGGGCATTCAGGCACCAGGAGGAAATCCTGTGAAGGCCAAAGAGCCCAATCTGCACGTCCAAGGGAAGGGAGCCACCCTACTTGTGGCTGTCCACGTGCTCCTGCTCTAATACAGGATTGTGGAGGCAGATGCCCGCAGTGTTGGAGCCAGATAGTGAGTGGCTCCTGCGTCAAACAAAAACTCAATCTTGGTTCCTGGAGCAAAGATGGATAAAGGTGGAGCACCTCTGAATATGAAGGAGGAGTCATTGGATCAGAACGGGCTCAGCAGGACTGGTCTTTGCATCTGAAGTCTCAGCCGACGCAGGGTCCCCCTTGTTGGGGGGAGGGGCTCAGTCTATCAGATTTTTTTGGTGAAGATGAGTTGGGCACATTCTACAATTTTTAATTCCTACAATTCTTAAAATTTTGGGCAATTCCAAAATTTTTAATTTTGGGTCTTTGAGGGTGCTAAGTGGCTCAGTTGGTTAAGCATCTGCCTTCAGCTCAGGTCATGATCCTGGAGTCCTGGGATCAAGCCCCACATCCGGCTCCCTGCTCAGTGGTCCATGTAGGACCAGGTTGCATGTGGGGATTTTTTTTTTTTTATAAATTAATTTTTATTGGTGTTCAATTTACCAACATACAGAATAACACCCAGTGCTCATCCCGTCAAGTGTCCCCCTCCGTGCCCGTCACCCATTCACCCCCACCCCCCGCCCTCCTCCCCACATGTGGGGATTTTTAAATGACGCTGGGGTTTCCCTTAGTAGCACGAGACCCAGATTTTGCACGCTTTCATTTTCCTACCTTCTTCTTTCTTCCAAGTATAAAGTGAGGGCAATAGTGGTTTGCATTGCCTAAGGTTTTAGATGAAGTCTGCTGGATAATTATCCTGAAATTAACTGTAAGTGGGCAAAGTTGGACTTGATAGTCTAGAATAGGGAATCTGGCAAAGTAGAAGTTTTTAAAAGGCACTTAAGGAGAACCTGGGTGTGTAGTTGGTTAAGCATCCAACTCTTGGTTTCTGCTCGGGTCATGATCTCAGGGTTGTGAGATGGAGCCCTGCGTCAGGCTCTGCACTCAGTGGGGTCTGCTTGAGATTCTCTCTCCCTCTCCCCTCTCCATCTCCCCCACATATGAGTGAATGAATCATGTCTAACTCACCAATTTACTACTACCCATGTCCCCCAAAATAGTGGAGGTGTCAGAAAGTACTTCAATAAGGTTTTTTTTAAAAAAAGATTTTATTTACTTATTCATAGAGACACAGAGACATGCAGAGACACAGGCAGAGGGAGAAACAGGTTCCACGCAGGCAGCCCGACGTGGGACTGGATCCGGGGTCTAGGATCACACCTTGGGCTGCAGGTGGCGCTAAACTGCTGCGCCACCAGGGCTGCCCTCAATAAGGTCTTAAATACAGTGTGTATTTGTTAGGATTGATCCTGGCTATAATAGGAACCCTTCTCAGAGAAGTAAACAAGACATGACTCCAGCACAAAAAAAATCTAGGCATAGGCTATCCAGGGCTGGTGTATCACCTCAGTGATGCCATTCGGGAAACAGGCTGTTTTCATGCTCTGTCATCAGTCACCTATGGTTTTCACTCTCACATTTGCAAGATGGTTGCTGCATCTCCAGACACTATGCCCTCACTTCAGGAAGAAAGCCCACCCCAAGGATTTTTACTTACCTCTGCTCTCTCTCTAGAACTATGTCACACAGCCATCATGGCTTTAATGGAGATCATGTGACTCAGTAATTCACTTTCCAAGGAGCATAGAAAGGCAAGGGAGAGAGTGTTGGAATGGTTGTTGAATGAGTCTGTTTGTAGAGACTGATAATTGATGGGAGATGCAATGGATAGGGAGACGTTACAATAGAAACGGGCTCTCTGATTTTGGTGGGGATAAATGGATCCTGGCATAACAGAGGCCAGGTGGTTGTGGCTACCATAACTAGCAGACAGTGCATTTTTTACAAGGGTCTGACCTGCAGGGTTCTTTGGTGTTGCCCAACTAATTGTGGCGTCCTTAAGAACAAGATAGATAGACAAATTGATTTTTATAGTTTAAAATTTTTCCTGTCAATAAACAAAGGTCTGATGTGAGCGGTCACAATATTGTCACGGCTCCTCCCCCAGTTCTCAGGAATAGGTCTGACACAGAATGAAGCAGCCAGGTGTCCAGTGAAAAGAGCCCTGAAATAACATCCAAAGTACTTGCTATGGACCTTGCAGCTTCTAAGTCTTCCCCAAAGGACCCAAAGCCTCTGACTAGACCATTCTCCAGATGTCCCGAGAAGTAACCAGACATTCTGGGCATTCTGAGAGATACTGGTTCTGCACTGATGTTAACTCCTGGTGATCCAGAACTCCACTGTGACCTATCCATCAAAGTGAAGGCATTGCTGCTATACTCAGGGGATAGCCCTGACCACCAGTGGAGACAGATAATCCTCCAAAGAGCAGATTTTGAGCAGCATGTCTCTTCTGTTTTGTCAGGAGGCAGAGATGTCTGATATAAAAATCCATGCTGATCCAGTCAGTGGCTAACAACCAGGTGGTCAGAGATTTAAAGAGCATGAATAGAGAACTGGCCATGAGGAAGCCCAGGGGAAAACTATGGCCAGAGTTCTTGGAATGTGCTCAGAGAATAAGAATGTGCATGATCTAAGTGAATGTTCAAAGTCCTCAGTGCTTTTAATAATCAGGAGTTCTAGGTATCTCTCTACAGATGTCTACCAGCTTTCATCTCCAGCCCCCCGATGCTTAATACATTCATAAACTGTGGCCACAGTGACAGGGATGGGGGGCTGTCTGTGTCATCTGTACAATGTGGATTTCCCCTCATCAAGGCTGATATAGCTTTCACCCTGACGGCCCACTTGTTAGCGGTAGTGACCAACCATGTGGGGGTACGTCCTAGAGGTTCTAGCTCAGGCCTCGTGACAGGTTGATTACATGTGTCCCTCTTCTATCAGAAAGGAGACAGCAATTTGTCCTCCCTAGAAGGGATACATTCTGGATTTGGATTTGCTTTTCTTCCAAATTTCTGCTGATACCATATTTCAAGGACTTACTAACATGCTTTGATGTCACTGTGCTATCCCATATGACCCTTGCTTTCCAATCACAAAGTTCACATTAAAGAGAAGCTGGTGGGCTTAATATAAACACCCATCACCCTGAGGCAGCTGGCTTTCTAGGGAGACTGCTCTTTGTGAGGTTGGAATAGATACAGTACATGTAGTAAATCAGGGCCCATGGCCACAGTGAAGGAAGGATCTGGGAACTAAAGGGTAAGGGGGGATAGCATTTCAAAGCTAATACCTAAGTGACCCCAAATCTCTGCCTCTATCCCCTGTGATTTGCTGACTGAGAGGCAAACAAATGAGAAATGCAAGAGGAACACAGTGGTGACTGTGGTTTGGAAGGCAGTCGGGGCTGTTATGGTGCTGGCCGGGTGAACACAGTCTTGTTGCTACACAGTGAAGGATGAGAGAAGTATGGATGGGACCTGGTGATAATACTGAGTATAGTAAGAGTTAATGGAAGATCTCTGTGATAATTGGAAGCCAGTGGCTCAGATGGGAAGGAAGGTTAGATCGTCCCTCCTTGAACAGGACTCCAATCCACTGTGGTGCTGGCTGAACTCAAACTCAGCCTAACTAACAGGAGAGAGAAGTCAAAAATACCAGCCGCAGCCTCAGGATTAGCTGCAGAAAGGTTACTAGTTGCCGCCTGTACATTTTTCTTTGCTGTTTCATGAATTTATATACTTCACCTAAACTTTCTCCCTTTTCCTTGCCCCTTATTGCACTACTCCACTTGGTTTGTGTTGATGGTGGCTGACTTTACACTTAGTTCACAGACTAGAGAACATTAGATAACATCATGATGGAGCAGGGGAGGAATGGACATCATTCAAGATCCTGGCATTGGAGATGGATATAGAATATTAGAGGGATATGATCCTATTTCTGGTTGAGGCAATAATTACATTTATTTGAATTGTGTGTGAAGTCTACATGTTCTGCTAGAAGAATAGATCTTTCTAAATGGTCAAAGTTGCTAAACACAATATTTGTCAAATGCAAGGAGGATGCTGAATATGTGAGCTCTGAGAAATGTATTTTCTTCAGATGAGAAAAAAATTAGTTACATCATTTGGTCAATATTATTTCACTAAGGATTTAATTTAGATTTATAGGAAATAAGATACAGAATCTGTTATAAATATCCCAATTCTACCATATGAATTTCAAGTAATCCTGATTACATAACCAGAGGTTTACCAATCTGTGATTTTCTTTTTAACAAATTAAGTTAATCTATAAATTTGTAGACACCATTTTTATTGTTATATTATGGGAACAAGCCAGAAAAAAATAAAATCACAAGCCTATTTTATGCTAGAGTTACTTTCTGTCCAGGTCGAAACATTGTTCCACTTTGATTTTTTCTCTTCTTTGGATTTTGAAAGTTTTCATACCTTAAAAAAATGACAGATACTATTTAATACATGTAGGTGCTAAAATTACAAAAGACAGAATTGTTTGTAAATAATATATTTTAACTAGGAAAAAACTAACAGAAATTAGAGTTCTTTATTTTTGAGAGTTGAGCATTCCAATTCATAAGAGCAAAGGGGATAAAGAGACAAGTTAGAAAAGAGAAAATCCACATGGCAGTGATATTTTAAAAAATCTTTTTAAACAAGATTTTTCTCCAAGCACACTGGCCAAGTTTAGACCAAGTTTAGAGAGGGATGATTATGCCCAGTGTTTTTGAAGGTGGTAGCAAAATGGGCCTTCTCAATATACTGTTGTATAGTATTTCTGGAAGGCAATAAGCCTTGCCAGAATATGAGTGTCCTGCGATGCCACAGTTCCATCTCAGCCTCAGGCAGCTGAGGCTCTGTGCAAACATTCAGCTCCAAGGATGTTCATTAGCACATTGGTATAACACTAAACACCTGGAAGCAACTTAAAATGTCCAAATATTGGAAATTGTGGCATGGTCATACTATAAAATGACATTAAAAACAAAGTAACATTTAAAATGTGAAAATTCAAGATGTATAGGGGCTGTTATACAGCACTAGTGCAGAGTGGCTTATGGAAAAAAAAAGCATACCAATAATATGCTTTGGGAAGGGTGAGAATAAGGGAAATTTATTTTCAGATTTTTCCATAATAAGGACATAAACATACATACTTATTGGGGAGCAAAATGTGCCACGCCAAAATGTGCCACTCTGGCATGCAGACTATTTGGAGCTGAGGGGAATCAAGACCCAGCAGACTTGGGGAAAAGCCTTTTATCTCCCTTAACTACCTGAGACGAATTTAGGTGTCTCTCCTGGTACAGGTTCCCTATTAGCAGAGATGACTTTTTTTTTTTCTTTGGAACAGGGCAGACATCTCTTATCCTCCATGTGAGGCCCCAGGACCCTGTCCCTTTCCACAGCTCAGTATGGCATCGAAACCTTACCGCCTGACCAACTTAGCATTTCCTACTGCAGGGGAACCCCTGTATGCAGGACATTACTTTTCTCCTGTTACTGTCGCTTGTCAATTAACTATTAGACCAGCCAAACAACACAGGAGGGAAGAAGGGAAAATTCTCCTGCCCTTACACTGTACATACACAGGCCCACTGAAAGTACTGTGAAATTAGACAAGAAAGAGTTGTGACTTCTAAAGCCCAGGAATAAACATTTCTTGCATTGAAGTAAGTTAAATCCTTGACCTAGAATGGTCTCCAATCTATGGGGTCTAGAGACAACTGCAAGAAGGCTCTAAATCCAATGTGGGTGAACCACGGTCCACCAGTGGATAAACCCAAATGTATTTAAAAGAAAGCAAAACAAGTATATTTTTCAGAATGGTTTTGGCAAACTACATTGGAATTATTTCGAGCTTTTAAGAAGCTTTTAAAGTTTAAATCAGTTCATTATAAATAATTCAAATACAGTCAAGTGAACTGGCTAATGAAAACTCATTTTTTACTTCAACACTCTTGAAGTTTTGGGGTGTTTCCACGCACAGCTATTGTTTTGAATGGGCCTTTTGTATGTTCAAAATCGATAAATTTAAAAGTTTAAGTGAAGAACTGTTGCCTCTAACACCTATGCTTCTGAATTGGAATCCGGTACTTACAGTTCAGCAAAATTCTTCCAGTCATCTTCGCTAATGGATGGCCTTGTGTGACTCAGAGCAGCCATTAAATGAGACTGGCTAATAGCCAGACTGGCTCTGACTGGGCCTGGCTGGTGAAGGGAGTCCTCCTCCTTAAACAAAAAGGGAAACACAAAGTTAACCTAGGGCTGCCATGAGGAAAAGCAGCAGCCCATATGTTGTTTCTAGCCACCCCTTTTTTCCGGAGGCCACACATTCCCTATCTCTAAGAGTACTAAAAATTGGTCCAAAGCACAATGCACATGACAATTTGATCCATGTGTTTCAGTCCCTTCTTTATAAACAGCGCTCATTTGCTAACCAAAAGACACCTCAAGAAAGGAGGAAGAAGTTTCACAGTCATTACAATGATCATGGGGGTGGGGAGAGGAAAGCCGTACTCCGCTCTGGCTCCGGTATCGGCCTTTGATGACACTGATGTCGGCCCGCAGCTGCTCTCTCTGTTCCTGGGTAAGTTCTTGGTAACCCTCCTGGGAAGCTGTTCTCAACACTGGAGGCCGGGAAGATGACTGCTCTTTCCCAGCAACTCCGGAAAAGTCCTGCGCTGTGGAGCTTGGTGCAGACAGGCACTGTGGGCTCTGCAGGGTCAAGTGTAGTAAGGAGAGCAGGGAGGAAGAGAGCGGGAAAGAAGTGTATGTTTATCAAGGATTAAAATAAAAATCTGAAGTAGTAAAAACCTTAACATCAACAAGTGTACATTTGAATTCATTGAAATGAAGCTATGTTCATCCTCTGTATGCCCCAGTATGAAAACTGCCACAAGGTTTTTTTAAAATCCTTTTTATTAAATCTACCACACTAATGCCCTTGGGGTAGGTTCCAAATGGGCCTTATTCTTAGTTTTCTGCAGAGTTATACCGTAAGGTTTTGGAACAGCTGCAGAGAAGTTAAGAAACAGACATAAAGACTAGAACTAAAACAACAGCTTACTATTCCTGGGAATAAAAACGATTCACTTTTAGATTAAAAACCTGAATAAAGCAAATGTGCAAAAACCAAAAATATAACACACGTGAAAATGTTACACATACCAATAAAGTGAACCACTGTTAATTTTGGGAGGATAGGTGTTAAATGCTGTTCTAATTTAGAAAAGCAAGGATATTGGCCATATGAATCTCAACATATTCCTTGTTGCATTGGTGCAACAAGGTGATGGGGACATTACATCATGGTAATGGGGACATTACATCAACTTTCTCATTATCTTCAACTATCCTCATATCAGAGTTTAATATAAAATGGATCTGCTGCTAATGGTGTTTTAAAACTACTAAGGAAGGGCGAGAAACCCCCAAGATACCAAAGGTCCTCACCAGCCCCGGCTACCCTGGCTCGCTCGGGCTGCCAGCTCTATTCCCATTTCTTACCAAGGGATAAAATGACTAATCAGAGCAAGGAAAACCAAGACTACTTTCTGACGAACCAACCAGCCAGTGCACAGGTGGGGCTGGTCAGGAGAGAGATCACCGTCCAGCTCCACACCAACCCACAGCTTTACTATCAGAACCGCACAATGGCGACCGCACAAGATACCAAGTCAGAAGAGGTTCCGTTTCCAAGTTCTGATTCATAAGAGCTTCCAAAGTAGAGCCGGTACATATTGAATTTCGATTCATCTGGAAGCATCTCGGACATCTCTAGAGAAACAAGGGACTGCTCCAAGCCACATTCCCCATCTCCCGCTGAATCGTCAGAGCCACTGCTGTGGTTAAGGAAAACCATTGAAGACAGACTCAGGTCACTATCAGAGCTAGAACTTCCATCCTAAAACACACAAAGGGACAGCAGCTGTAACGATCTAAATAATCTACAGCTCTGAAATGAACACCACAGAGAGCATTCTAACGGACCAGTCCAAGAGGCATTTTTCAAAAAAGCTCTTCTGTCATTTCTGAACAGGGTTCTTGTCCACCCTGTGTCCTCTTATGATCCCCTCAGATCCCCGGCTGTCTGGGGCAGATGGCAAAGGTGTCACAGCTCTCCCACACACAGGAGACCAGCAGTTTTGTGAGCTAGCCACCACCTAAATGCTTTTTGTCCAAATGCTGTATGAGCCGCTGTTAATATGACTCTGTGACAAACTAAGTACGCTGCTATCATGTAACATGTCCAGAGAGAACCCTGGAAAGCCTCTCCAGCAACACAGAATGGGAGCAGAGGGCCTGACCCCAACCAGCATCCAGGAAACATGCACAGAGCCAAACTTTGGCTCTGGAGGCACATAATAAAATGTTGATTATTATCATCTCCCAAAAACTCTAACAAAGCTAGGATTCAAACCTCTGGATTTTATTTGTATGAATCTATCTTTCAACTATGAAACGATGAATCAGCCATGTGATACTTTATCATCACAGTATTTTATAAATAAATGTGTTTTCTGTTAGCGAAGAGGGTGGAGATTCAGTGGTTTGCCAAAAGAAATAGCAAAAACTCGACAGTATCTGATTTAGGAATGGCAGGCCCTGTGAGAATCTCCAACAAAATGGAGGGGAGAGGAGTACACAGGAAAACCTTTCCTAGAACATACAATGTCTTTAATGTAGTGGAAGTCAAATTATCTGCTGCAAAAATTAAAATACCATCTTGAGAGGGAAAGAGGAAAAAGGCTGATGTTAGGTGTGGGGCACAGAAAGTGTGAGATAAACCTAGGATACCCTGTACCTAGTTCTTTCAGGATGAAGCGACCAAAGAATGATGGAGACATATCAGAAGACACAGAAGCCATCCACAAGTGGCTCCTAGGGGCCAGTTCCGGGACAATTTGAGCTTCAAAATAAATACTTTGCTTGATCCCCTGACAGAACTTACTTGCAGCCCACAGGACAGCAGCCGCCCATGTAAGGCCTCTAACTGGGCGTTGTAAAGTAAAGCTTTCAGATCAGCTCCTGTGAAGCAGTCGGTTACTGACGCCACATGCTGGAGGTCCACATCATCTGCCAGAGGTAGAGAGTCACTGAGAACGTTTAAAATTTCAAGACGGGACACCTGAAGGGAGAAAAACTAATTGACTTAACAAATAAAACAAAGTTAAATATTATTTCGTTATATATTTAATTTTTTTTTTTTAACAAATTAACTCTCTAATAAGCTTTATAACCTGAAAAACGTACCCTCATCTACTAACTATCCTCTGGAGCTTTTTCCCTAACAGAACAGACCTAGGAAAATGAATGAAAATTAACATTCCTAACCCTTCGGTGTAAATCCTTTCCTACTCAGACTGTGTTTATTTTCTAGATTTTGGCAAATGCGCCAAGGAAGTGTCTCAAAGAAAAAAAAATTAATAGCTATAAGTGACAAATTTATACCTTTGAGTATTCATTTGTCTATTTGTTCTTTCACTCATTTATTCATTAGTTTCTACATTTGGGGACAACACAGACTAGGAACGGTGAAAATCTTACCTTTAGGTAACCTGCTTAGATGCTCGCTAGTCATAAGCTTGACTCTTAGTCTTGCCACAATAAGGAGGTGTGTGATCTTTGGACACAGGGAATGTGGACATGTGATACTTTAAGTTTCCTTCCCTTTTTTGCAACTGGCCAACAGGGAAAGACTACAAAGTTTTCAGACTTGCAGGGAAATGGCTGGGCTTTACATCTAACCATGCCATGAGCTAACTGTGACGAAGGCCTTGCCTAAAGCTGGTTTTCTAAGGACAACTTTTATTACCAGGAAGAAGTAAAGTTCACAAGGTAAGAGTGTAGCATTTGTGGGGTTTTAAGAGATTCTAAGTATGAAATTATCACCTGATCAGGAGGAGGACAGTATACACATTTATCGAGTCGGCCAGGCCTAAGCAGGGCGGGGTCGATCAAGTCAGGGCGACTAGTAGCAGCCAACACATAAACACCTGTGGGGGAAAATATATTCTTTACTAAATCCTGGTGAAACCTGTTACGATAAGAGATTTCTGCATTTACAGTTATTACCCTGTAAGCCTTCCACCCCATCCAACTGAGTCAGCAACTGGTTAACCACGCGATCTGTAACTCCTGTATTATCGTGGCCTCTTCGAGGAGCAATAGATTCAAATTCATCAAAGAAAAGAATGCAGGGCTTGGCCGCCTGCGCTCTGGGAAAAAACAAACAATATTTCATATTTCAATAGGGCTTCAGAGTTTGCAAAGGAATTATATATATCTATGTACATATGTATCTGTGCATACACATATATGCGTGTATTTATGTATTTATTTAAGTCTTCACAGCAAACCCTTAAGGAAGGCAAAGCATATGTAATTATCTTTGTTTTCAGTAAACTGGGTCTTAGACAAGTCATGATATTGGCCTAAGATTCATGCATTCCAGACAGGGACTAAAACAAAAACCAGAGTCTTATTCAATCAATGAAATGTTTCTTTGATTCTTATTGTAAGTAAACCTTTTTTATATGCTTATTAGCCACCTTTACTTCTTTTGTGAAATACTTATTCATGTCTGTTATCCATTTAAAATTTGGCAAGCTCATTTTTTTCATATATTATAAGGGATCTCCATAAAATATTTTAGTTCTGTATATTACCTTTCTCTAAACTTTTAATTTTATTTAATAATTGTTTTAATTAAAAACAGATTCCATCTCTGGTAACAGGATGGACCAGATGTCTGAAAAAATCACCCTAACAGAAAATACCTGTCATACTGATTGAAAAAAACGCAACACATATCTTATGAAACACACTGCACAGAAGATAAATCCAGGGCCCACAAGGAACTGGAATTACCTGCTCCTTGAAAGTCTGGCAAAAGTCTCAAATAACCAGCTGGGTCTGATTGATTTTTGTGAAGATTTTTAACTAGTGATTCGAATTGTTTTCTAATTCTTTCTCAGATTGTTTCTTCTGTGCTTGATTTTAGTAGGTTATATTTTTATCTATGTCACCTGTTTCAAGTGTATTCGCATGAAGTTTATAATATTATTTCATAATATTCCCTTACCATTTTCTACATTTCTGGTATATCTTTAGTCATGTACCCCTTTTTATCTCTAATATTACTTAGTCATGCTTGCTTTCTCCTTGATCAATCTTGCTGGAGATCTAGTAGTTTTACCAGGCTTTCAAAAATTACTTGGGTTTGTGAACTTCTCTACTGAATTATTTTCTAGTTTATTAAATTTTGCCCTTTATTATTATTATTTTTTTTTTTAGTTTAGAAATCCATCTCATGAAATGAAGAAATATAATCTTTTTAAGGCTATCAATTTTCCTTGAAATAAATTTTGCAGCATCTCACAATTTTAATAGCATTTCCTTCCTTCCTTCCTTCCTTCCTTCCTTCCTTCCTTCCTTCCTTCCTTCCTTCCTTCCTTCCTTTTTTAAGATTTTATTTATTTATTCATGAGAGACACAGAGAGAGAGAGAGAGAGAGAGAGAGAGAGAGAGAGAGAGAGAGAGAGGCAGAGACACAGGCAGAGGGAGGAGCAGGCTCTATGCAGGGAGCCCGATGTGGGACTCGATCCCGGGTTTCCAGGATCACGCCCCAGGCTGAAGGCGGCGCTAAACCACTAAGCCACCAGGGCTGCCCAGCATTTTCATTAATATTTAGTACTCAGGATTTTCTATTATGATCTCTTCCTGAACCCATGAATTATTTAGAAGAGTTTTATTTTTAAATATCTAAACATATGAGAGGGAATTATTTTTCTGTTATTTATTTTAACTTGTCAGGGAATAGTGTGTACAGATATTGTTTCTCTGAAAAAGTTACTGGTTCCTACGTATGGCCCATATGGCCAATTTTCAAAAATATCCAGGTGTGCTTAAAAAAGACTATTTTCCAGGTGTTGGGTATGTGTTCTACATATGCTTAGATCAGTCTTTTTTTTTTTTTTTTTTTTTAGATCAGTCTTGATGTTTAAGTCTTCTAAATTTTTACTGTTATTTTTTTTTAACCTCAATATAATTACATACTGAGAACTATGTGAAAATCTTCTATGAAGGTAGATTTATCAATTTCTCCTTGCAGTTCTATCAATTTTTGCCTTCAATAAGATAGCTTCAAACTATTTAATACACACAATTTTAGAATTGTAATATCTTTGTGGTAATGTGTCATCATCTGGTGACTGCATTTATCTGTAAGAATGCCTTCCTGGGAATGTTCTGTTTCTTAAACTGGGTGGTAGATACTCAAGAGTTCATTTTACTTAAAAAAAAAAATGCAGTTATGAGAATGTCCATATATTGGGATTCCTGGGTGGCGCAGCGATTTGGCGCCTGCCTTTGGCCCAGGGCGCGACCCTGGAGACCTGGGATCAAATCCCACATCGGGCTCCTGGTGCATGGAGCCTGCTTCTCCCTCTGCCTGTGTCTCTGCCTCTCTCTCTCTCTCTCTGTGTGTGACTATCATAAATAACTAAAAAAAAAAAAAAAAGATAGAAAAAAAATTTAAAGAGAATGTCCATATATCTTATAATGAAATTTTAGAATGACATAAAGTAGTTTTTGAATTTAAAGATCTTACTTTCATTCTTAACTATTAGCTTCTGTATTTGGCATATTTGGCATTTCTGTATAAATGCCATAATAAAGGGAAACTATTTCTCTCTTCTATAAATTAACACCGCATGTTGCTGACTTAATTAAAATGGATAATTATGCGTTGCATATTACTTTGAGATTCCTCCTTTGAATAACCACTTAGGATTTACTTTCAGCATTTTGTGAATATTATAAATATTAAATTTTGGAAATATTTGGTGATATAATCCTCACTTATTAAAACATCAGATCTCCAAAAAAACAACAGACCAAAAACCACTGTTAAATCATAGTGTTTGCCTAAAAAAAAATCATAGTGTTTGTTACTTAAAAAGAAGTCATAGGGAACCAACCTAATAAAAATATCCCGAACCGCTTGTTCACTTGCTCCAATGTATTTGCTGAGTAACTCTGGCCCCTATCAGGTAAAATAAAATTAAATTAGAATTGAGATAAAATTATTTAAAAACAAAATCCTGAGTCATGCAGTCACCATGAAACAGTTTGGCAGTTCCTCAAAAAGTCACACATAGAGTTATCATATGCCCCAGCAACTATACTGCTAGGTATATATTCAAGAGAAATGAAAACATGTCCAAACAGAAATGTGTACACAAATGTTTACAGCAACATTATGTATCAGAGACAAAAGGTGGAAATGACCCAAATATCCACCAATGATGAGTGGCTAAAAACCTGACATACCCACACAATGAAATATCATTCAGCTTTACAAATAACTGAAGTACTGGGGCGCTTAGTGGCTTAGTTAGGTGTCCAACCCTTGATTTCTGCTCAGGGTCATGATCTCAAGATTGTGAGATCAAAATCGCCACTGGGTGCTGTGTTCAGCGTGGAGCATGCTTGAAATTTTCTCTCCCTCTGCTCCTCCCCCTTGTGTGCACGTGCATACTCTCTAAAAGAAAATCTTAAAAAAAATACAAAAAATAAAAAGAACTTAAGTAGTGACACTTGCTACTATCTGGACAAACTCTGAAAACGTGCTAAGTAAAAGCAGCCAGTCACAAAGACATGACACACTACATGATTCCTTTTATGTGAAATGTCCAGAACAGGAAAATCCCGAGACAGAAAGCACATTAGTGGCTGTCAGGGGCTAGGGGGACAGGAAATAAGATGAAAACGTTTTCTGTTTTGTTTTTTTTTTTTAAGATTTTATGTATTCATGAGAGATACAGAGAGAGGCAGAGACAGGCAGAGGGAGAGGCAGACTCCCTGTGGGAAGCCCGATGCAGGACTCAATCCCGAGACCCCAGGATCATGACCTGAGCTGAAGGCAGATGCCCAACCACTGACCCACCCAGGTGCCCCGAAAAAGTTTTGAAATAAGAGAGAAGTAGTGGCTACATAGCATTGTGAATGCATTATGTGTCACTGATTTGTATACACTTTATGATGTAAATTTACCTCCATGAAAAAAGATAAATGCAAGACATACCTTGACACTAATGAAATTCATTCCACTCTCTCGGGCAATTACTCCAGCTAGTAAGGTCTTCCCTGTTCCAGGAGGACCATACAACAGTACCCCCGTTCTCTGTCGTATGGGCAAGTTTGCAAACAGTTCTGGGTACTGAAAAATACAACAGTATAACAAAGAGCTCGAATCTAAAAAAATGACTATGCAGCAAAGTCACGGTACAGAAAGAAGAATTCAGACGGTAGAACTGCCACCTTTACTAACAGAGTAATGACAGAAAATAAAATTCCCACTCAATAAATGAGTTCAAAGAAACTATGGTTGACTTTTTACCAAATGAACCATACAATACATTCTTCATAAAGTGTCTATAACTGCCTCTGAACTTCTGTTTTCCTGTTTTATTTTATTATTTTTTATTTTTTCCTGTTTTTAAAAATAATATAAAAATACATTAAGAAAATAAAAACCAATCTTTTAATAAGTATACCGCCTTCCCCTTGAATGCTTCACAGGGCAACATAGGATAGCTATATATATTCAAATATACTCAAAAAAAGAAAAATAATAAAGAAGCATGTATAATGATAACAGTAAGCTCTCCCCAGAGCCTCTGTGCTGAGCAAGCAACTGACTGCTTCTAATTACTGGAGAGCAAGAGGACTTTGTGAACCGGTGAGGCAAAGATCAGGCTAATGTCAGCAATATCCTGGTCTCTTCTGTAAGGTATGCCTACTCAGTTCCCCCTGCTGACAAAATTCTAACCCCATCTCTCTCTCCATTCTAATCTGGAGAGGCCTCAAAGTCAGCCATTCTGCAGAGAGCCTCGGTGCAGCTGGATTCCAATGCCCAAACCCAGCATTTGGAGTCATGATCCGGCTGGCAAGTGCTTCCATCCCTACATTCTCTCAGACAGGCTTTAACCTGCAGTCCCAGACCCACTGGCCACGGTTTCCAGGACTTGCCATTTAGTCACATGTAACTGAGGTCCTTATTCACCCATATCTCAGCTCTTTGCATGGGTAGTTGATCTTATGCAATAATCCTTACCTCTCAGATTTGTGGTTCAAATGCACTACCACCTAGATTGCACCTTCTGATCTTCTGAACAATCTACTGCTGCCCCCTGTATCCTGCCACCTGCCTGGTCTATGCTGCCTGCTAACTCCGTCTTTCTAGGATTGGGACCCAGAGTCTGGTATCTGACCTAATCCCTCAGTTCTGTGGACCTAGATGACTTCTCCAGCTTATTACTACCCATTTCTGTTCAAATCCCAGCAGTCAGTTCATTCTGCTTTAGTACAATCTGAATGATTCAAGCAAAACACAAGAATTATACAATCCACATCAAAACAGACATACTGTAAATACCACCCCAACTTTCTAAGTTATGTACAGGTAAGGAGTCTATTAAATACTTTTAAAAAATCTGTTAGAATACCAAAAATAGTGCTGGTATTTATTTGGTAATTCAGTAGATATTTGAATCAAACTGAGATTAGGCAAGCCAACACACAAAGCTATTTCAGTGGTTCTTCTGGAAGCAGGTGCTTGATTTTTTTTTTTTAAGTACCTTGGCTGGTAACTGGATAGTATCCCAGAGTATCTGCCGAACTTCATGTAATCCACCAATCTTATCCCAGCCCAGGTCCCTTGGTTTATGCAAGTTGACATTTCGCAGAGAGGCAGGAATAAATCCTTGGAGAGCCTTTTGGAAGTCCAACGTTGTTAAAACTAATTCTGTTTAAAAATAAACACAACTTCTTTTGGTAGTCTTATCTATATATGCATCTTCAAAATACTCTATCATCTAAGCTAGAGATGATTTTCTCCTCACTTGCTTATCTGAATACTAAAATAGAACATTTTAAGTCTTACTACATTAACTTTCTCTGCAATGAAAAGATTTCAAACTTTGAATTTAATAAGAACACATACCTTCCCTGGTGGTTATCCTCTGATGAGAGAGATGAGAATGAATGGCTCGATCCACGAGCACTGTAAAATCTCTAGCCACAAACCCTTCAGTTTCTTTAGCTATACATTTGAGGTCAAGGTTGGTGAACCTATTTATATCATAGTCCAGTTTATTTTTTATTACATTATGCAGAATTTCACATCTTTGCTCCTAAAAAAAAATTCAATTTCTAATTTTACTCAAATGTAAACTTTAGTACATGTATTTCCAGAAAAATCAGGTCGATATAATCTACAGTGACAGAAAGTACTGGTGGTTGTCGGCAGGCTGGAGTGGGGGAGGGAAAGATTGCAAAGGAGCACCAGGAAACTGGGGAGTGATGGAAATGTTTGCTACCTTACTTGTGGTAATGGTTTCATGGTATATATATATTAAATGGTATACACAGTATATAATATATACATGTTAAAACTGATCAAATTGTATAAATACCAACTCTGTGGTCTTTGATTATGCCTCAAAAAAGCTGTAAAAAAAATCACATTGATAACTGATTGCTCTGTCCAGGAAAAGCCTTTTTAGTAACATCTGGTTCCTTTAAGAGTGGTTTTTGTTGTTACTCTTATAAAACTTATTTCTAAAAAGATAATCGAGGGCGCCTGGGTGGCTCAGTCAGTTGGACATCCAACTCTTGATTTCTGCTCAGGTCTTGATCTCAGGGTCATGAGTTCAAGACCTGTGCTGGGCTCAGCATGGAACCTACTTGAAAAATAAATAGATAGATGGATATTCAATGACCAATACCACTACCATTCTGTTATACTTACAACCAGGTTTAATACTTTCATTCTTCAATAACAATTAATTTGCACAGGGTATGAATATTTAGGGTAAGAATTTTAAAGGGGAGCCTGGGTGCTCAGTCAGTTAAGTGTTGCACTCTTGATTTTGGCTCAGGTTATGATCTAACAGTTGTGAGATACAGCCCCAGGTCAGGCTCTGTGCTCAGCATGGAGTCTGCTTGAAATTCTCTCTCCCTGTCTTTCTGCCATTCCCCCAGCTTGTGTGTGCTCTTTCTCTCTCTCAAAATAAATAAACAAGATTAAAAAAAAAAAAGAATTTTAAAAAAGATATTAAAATGTGCTTGCCTATCCTGGAACATACTTCTCTGAGCTCACTGCCTCTAAAACCTTCATGAACATGAATCCCCATAGGGGGCAATAGGCTATCTGTGCTTGCGATATTGTAATTTATGATTAAGAAAATATATATATATATATATGGTTTTCATCCCTGTTTCTGGCCCAGATCTCCTAAAACCGTTAGAATTTCTTAAGTTCTAAGAGTGATAAAGGTGTCTTGGTATTCACACCCTTTCCAACACAGTTGAGTTTATGTTAATGAAGGTGACTTACAGAAAGCACCTAAGGATGGGGGCTGGCTGCCAGGAAACCACCCATGAAGAAAGGGTTGAAACCTGCAGTCCCACACTTTGACTTCTGGGAAGGAGAAAGGGGCTGAAGGTTCAATCAATTGCAAAAGGCCAAAGATTTAATCAATCATGCCTATATAATGAAACCTCCACAAACACCTAAAAGGAGAGGATTCAGAGAGCCTCCAGGTCGGTGAACCAGAAAGCTTCTGGTGTGCCATCGTGCTGGGCTGTAAACTTCACAAGCACAGAGGCTGCTTTTTAAGAACAGAACCTCACCTATGTATCTCTTCATCTGGCTGTTGATTTGTATCCTTCAATATCTCCTCTGTAATAAACTAGTAATCTACTGAGTAAACTAGCTTTCTTAGTTCTGTGAGCTACTCTAACAAATCAGTCAAAGCCAAGCAGGGGGTTGTGGAAACTCTGATTTACAGCTAGTGGATCAGAAGCACAGATAATAACAAGCTGGACTTGCAACTGGCAATTGACGTAGAAAGCAGTCTATACGATTGAGCTCTTAACCTGTGGAATCTGATGCTGAGTAGACAGCAGAATGAAGTTGAATTCTAGCACACCCATCTGGTGTCTTGAGAATTGCTTGGCAGTGTGAAGGAAAAACCCACACATTAGAATTGAGTACTAAAATCGTAATGGGTAAAGAATACTGGTGCTGGTAAAGAAACAAATAGTCAAATTAAAAAAAAAAAAACATCTATTTGGATAAAAAAGGATAAAGACCATATGAGCATTTCAACAGATGCAGAAAAAGCATTTGACAAAGTACAGCATCCATTCATGATAAAAACTTTCTGCAAAGTACTTCTAAGAGGGAACATACTTCAACATAATAAAGGCCTTATATCAGTATTTGAAAAACCCATGGTGAACATCACACTCAATAGTGAAAGACTGACAGCTTTTCCCCTAAGGCCAGGAACAAGATAAGGATGTTCACCCTCACCACTTTAATTCAACATAGTACTAGAAGTTCTAGCCCAGCAATCAGACAACAATATCCAACAACATCCAAATTGGTAAAGAAGTAAAACTTTCACTATTTGCAGATGACAATGATACTATAAAGAAAACCCTAAAGACGCCATCAAAATTTACTAGAACTGATGAATGAATTCAATAAAGTCACAGTATACAAAACTAATATAGAAATTTGCATTTGTATACAGTAATAATAAAGCAACAGAAAGTGAAATTAAGAAAACGATACCATTCACAATTGCACCAAAACCAATAAAATATCTATGAATAAACCTAACCAAAGAGGTAAAAGACTGAAAACTATAAAATATTGATTAAAAAATTCAAGACAACACAAAGAAATGGAAAGACATTCCATCCTCATGGGTTGGAATTACAAATATTGTTAAAATGTCTATACTACCCAAAGCAATCTACACATTTAACACAATCCCTATCAAAATATCAGCAGCATTTTTCACAGATCTAGAATGATTCTAAAATTTGTATGGAACCACAAAAGATCCTACATGGCCAAAGCAATGTTGAAAAAGAAAAGCAAAGCTGGAGGCATCACAATTCCAGATTTCAAGCAATATTACTAAGTGGTAGTAACTAAAACAGTATGGTCTGGCATAAAAATAGACACACAGATCAATGGAATAGAACAGAAAACCCATAAATAAACCCACAATTATATGGCCAATTAATCTTTGACAATGGAGGAATGAATATCCAATGGAAAAAAGACAGTCTCCTTCAACAATTGGTGTTGGGAAAACTGCACACCCACATGCAAAAGAATTAAACTGGACCACATTCTTTCATCATATGCAAAAATAAACTCAAAATGGACTGAAAACCTAAATGTGATACCTAAAACCATAAAAATCCTTAAAGAAAAAAAAATCCTTAGAGCAAAGGCAGTAATTTTGCTGATGTCGTTCTATGCAATATGCTTCTACGTGTATCTCCCTAGACAAGGGAAATAAAAGCAAAACTAAACTTTTGGGACTACATCAAAATAAAAAGCTTCTGCACAGTGAAGGAAACAATCAACAAAATTAAAAGGCCAAAAAAAAAAAAATTAAAAGGCAACCTACTGAATGGGAGAAGATATTTGCAAATAACACATGTGATAAAGAGTTAGTATCCAAAATATATAAAGGATAGAACTCAATACCCCAAAAACAAATAATTCAATTAAAAAATGAGCAGAGAGCAGCCCTGGTGGCGCACCGGTTTAGTACTGCCTGCAGCTCAGGGCGTGATCCTGGAGACCCTGGATCGAGTCCCACGTCAGGCTCTCTGTATGATGCCTGCTTCTCCCTCTGCGTGTGTCTCTGCCTCTCTCTCTGTCTCTATGAATAAATAAATAAATTTTTTTTAAAAAAATGGGCAGAAGGGGCGCCTGCATGGCCCAATCCCATTAAGCATCTGCTTTCAGCTCAGGTCATGATCCCAGGGTTCTGGGATCAAGTCCCACATTGGACTTCCTGCTCAGTGGGGAGTCTGCTTCTCTCTTTCCCTCTGCTGCTCTCCCTGCTTGTGCTCTTCTCGCTGTCAAATTAAAATATTTTTAAAAATGGGCAGGAGACATGAACACACATTTCTAAGACATACATGTGGCAAACAGACACATGAAAAGATGCCCAACATCACCCATCATCAGGGAAATGCAAATCAAAACTGCAATGAGGTATCGCCTCACACCTGAGAAAAAGTACTGACAAGGATGTGAAAAAAAGGAACCCTCTTGCACTGTTGGTGGGAATGAAAACTGGTGCAACCACTGTGGAAAACTACCATTTTTTGGAAGTTCTTCAAAAAACTAAAAGTAGAACTATCCTATGATCCAGGGATCACACTACTGGGTATTTACCCCTCAAAAACAAAAACACTAGTTCAAAGGGATACATGCACCCCTATGTTTATGGCAGCATTATTTATAATAGTTGAATTATGGAAGCAGCCCAAGTGCCCATCAACAGATGAATGGATAAAGATGTGGTGTATACACACACACACACAGAGAAACATAACTTAGCCATAAGAAAGAATGAAATTTTGCCATTTGCAACAATATGGATAGAGGTAGAGAGTATAATGCTAAGCAAAATACATCAGAGAAAGGCAAATATCATATGATTTCATTCATACGTGGAATTTAAGAAACAAAACAAATGAACAAAGGGAAAAAAAGAGAGACAAACCAAGAAACACTCTTAACTACAGAGAAAAAACTGAGGGTTACAAGAGGGAAGGTGGGGGGGGATGAGTGAAATACGTGACAGGTACACTTATGATGAAAAAATACATATATTCATAAATCTATTTGCATTTCTCACTAAATGCTCTTTCTTATTAAAAAGAAATGTTTAAAAAAGCTAACTATGTAATGGATGTGCTCAATTAACTTGATTGTGGTAAATACTTCACAATGTATATATAAATTATATTGTACACTTTAAATATACACAACTTTGTCAATCACACCACAATAAACTGAAAAAAAATCTAATGTCCATGATGTATGTATTTACAGATTTCACCAATGGGAAATGAAGTTTAGAATTTGTTTTTTTTTTTCCTTTTGGATGGAATAACAAAATTTTAGTAATTAAAAAAAATGTTTTCCAAAAACCCTTGCAAAGAGCATAGTAACATTTCAGATTGTTATAAAGGGAAACTGTGCATCTAAGCACAAAATGCACCAAATGTCACCTTTTAAATATTTGTAAGTATAAGTTTAAGGCCATAAATCATTAATATAATTAAAAAACGAGGGGAGCCTGGGTGTCTCAGTTGGGTGTCCAACTCTTGATCTCAGCTCAGGTCTTGATCTCAGGGTCATGAGTTCAAGCCCTGCAGTGGCTCCACACCTACTATAAATAAATGTAATTTATTAAATACATAAATAAAATAAAATTGAAAAATGGTTTATATAAAGAGGGACACATCTCAACAATCTTCACAAGTAGTATTACCTGATTAGGCGGTTGAATATGTTGGACACACTGAAATATGTGAATTCCTTGAGCAGAGACAAGCCAAGGATGCAGAGAATGTTGAGACTGGCTTGTGGCAATCACTGCAACCAAACTTCCCATGGAAATAAACTCTTTCATCATATCACTCAAAGCTAGAATTAAGCAATACAGCATAAAAGCTTATTGACTAGAAACATATTTAAAAATTATATAGTCATTAAAAACAATGATAACCTAAAGTCGAGCTTTTAGGTGAGTACAAAGTCCCACTCACTGCCACTGATTGATTGAGGACCTAATATCAGCCCCACTCTAACCAAGTACTGTCAACTAAGTCTATACACTCAAAACAATGCCTCAGTGGTTAGGGTTAGGACAAACAGGAGTCTCTGAAATAAACACAGGAGGGTGATAAAATTCCATATCGTGCTCTGATTAGGCAAAACACAGTTCCTAGTCCTATGAATTCCTGAACAATCTCCTTCCACCCTAGGTCTTGCCAGGTTTGGTTGTTAGGAGGTCAGAAATGAAACGGGCATTAATAATGTATATCTGAGTCCCGACCTAGAAATTTGCAGCATTCCATTAAACACTACACAATTTTGCAGATCCTACGGGATTCAAACTGTGAGACGAACATGAGTTTCTAATAATGCAAGGCATGGCAGTTGCATTTCCTATCTGTTCCAGCTCTCGAGAAGCTTCAGGCAGCTACCTGCTGTCATATCCTCCAGCACTCTACCCCAGCTCTCTCCGTGAATTCTAAACTCCAGTTGTGGGGTATTCACTAACATACCACCATTTCTCCTAGCTCTGTGCCTTTGCCTGGGGATCACACTTTCTTTGCTTCTTCATTAACATGAAGCCGCTTCATGCTAACTTCTACTCCTCCATCAAAATTCAGTGAATTTCAGTCATCAACTTCCCACCAAAAGCCTTCTCTGTTACTCCTTACCTGCCCCTCACAGGAACCTGAGGGTGTGCTCCTACGGTGCCCTGTGTACACTTCTGGCAAAACATATCCTACCACCTCCTAGTTGTGCCACCTTGGTCAAATTACTTAATCTTTGAATTTCCATTTATTCATCCAAAAAACCACAATATTTGCACATAGAGTACAAAAACAGACCCTAGCCCAGGAAAGGCACTCAACACATGGTTGCTACCATTATTACTCTCAGTATTGTCCTAAAACTGTCTACTTTTCTTTCGGGTCCTAGACTTGGAGGATACAGGCTGTGCATAAGCATTAGACAAATATTTGTCAAATGAACAAAGCCAGAGTAAATCTGCACAATGAAGCAATTTCTAATAAGCATATGAGAAGGAAAAGACTCCAAAAGACAAATCACGATGTTGCAGAATTTTCACACTGCTCCTACCAATTTTACTAACACGGAAGCCTCAAAAGCAACACGTAACAGCATTTTCTGAAGAAGGTAGATTTATCATGAAGACTAAAATGGTCATCTAACCGAAGAAAAAAAGGCCCACAGCCTCAGGTGGACGTGTCACCATTACCATGTGCAAGCCGCTGGCTTTGCACAGCCTCAGGGCCATGCTCATGCTCTGGAGCAGCAGGCACACCCACAATAAGGTCGAGGTCATCCAGCAGAATCACAGAAGGCTGCCTCCATGTCGCCTCGGAGAAAGCCAGCTCCACAGTTTTCTGTATGTTTTCAAGCCTTTTTCCTTAATATGCAAGAAATAAAATGGGTTTTAATGTTAATTCAAGGTTGGTAAGTTCAGGCTGCCTTTTGAGAGCATTAGAAAAGCTCAATATTGATTTAACTATGAAACTTTGAGTCCTATTCTGTTAATATACCAATCACTAAAATTTATTAATCACTACCCTTGGTTACCATTTTTTAACCAAATAGAGGATAATATAAGCATTAAAGACCTAAAAAGTACCAAAGTGTATATGGTAAATTATACTTCTTCTCTTCGCTGTCCATGGCCACCCTCTCCCCATCCCCCTGACCCCCAAGATTCTGCAGCAGTGCAAGGATCCTTTGTACCCATAGAATATACCTTAGATATGAACTTTCTCAGAATGGTCTAAGTTGGCATTTCCAGGAATAGAGTCTACAGAGTTTTGGCTAGGAAAAAAAAAAGGAGGAGGCCTCCATCAAGTATGGAGAGTTTAAAAAGTTTTGCTAAAAATATTAGAAAGCCAAAGATTTATAATTTCAATAACAGAAAAATTAAAGAAAGATTAGGTATGTTAGATTAACAGCATTAAATAACATTTCTGTCTTTCTAGCAAAAAAAGGGGGGGGGTTATGTAGAGTATTATCATATTCATACCTCGTAAAGCTTTACAGCCAACCACCTCCACATGGGCATCCAATGTGTCAGATGCTTCTTTACAGATTGCCTTGGCTAAAGTTGATTTTCCACTGCCCTAAAAAACAATTGCTTCATAAGCAATATATCCAATCAAAGAAATAGCTTCTGTTACTATGGCAATCACCAAGACTCAGCCTCACCAATCAAGTATATACCACACAGTGTCCTATGTCAGTTATATCTCAATAAAGCCAGGGGTAAAAGAAAACAACAACAACAAAAAACCACCTCACATCCCTGGAGCTCTAGGATCATTTATGGTGGGTAACATTTGGTATAAAGTAAAGTAATAGGAAGGAGTGAAAACCTGGACTCAGTAAGTTTTAAGAGCACTGCAGGATAAGTGGGAAGGAATTAGTTCCTAAATACGTATTCAAGTCTATAAAAACAAAATGAAACAAAAATAAATTAAAAAATAAAATTAAAAAAATCAAAACTCATAATATTCTGCAAAGAAACCAGGAGGCTCCAGCTTCCTAGCCTGAATAGAAGGATTCTAGTAGTACAGAAACACAGGCAAGGTTAACAGACAACCCAATCTCAGGAATATTAACCCCCAAAAAGGGGCATTTCCCACTCCAATTCCAATCTCAGTTGGCACTGATGCTAAAAATAATAAATTGCTTTGAGAAAGTAAAAAATGTATATACCAGTCTAGCTGCTATGTGAGAAATGCAGGTGTTACTAAAATATGGCTTTTCTTTTAAGCTGTTTAATGTTTAAAAAATCATTAAAATCATCAATAATTAATAATAAATCTTTTACCTTTAAAACAGGCAATGCTCCGTTACTTACTAGAAGGGAATAATGTGAACATTAAATAAATTTTCTAGAGAAGTGAAACCTACTCCTATTTAATTTCAATTATTTTTAATGGAAAACATTTACTACTCACTTCCCTATTATCTTAAATTAGCTGTAATTTTTTTTTAATTAGCTGTAATTTTAATTCAGTTTCTTGGTCATTTACAGTGTTACTGTGACCATGAATTAGTGAACCATGTAGCCCTCAGCGGCCCTTAAGGTGCACAGAACTGCTTATTTTTATATTAAGTGGCTCCAGACTATAGGGTTTGATCCAATGTGCATTTTTTTTTCTAGTAAAGCTTTATTTTTTCCCTGGTTTATAAAGTAATATGCAGAAAATACAAAATAAATACTTAGCAGAGAAAGGTAAAACATTTTGTCATGATGATAACCACAGTCAATTGTTTCGATGAATCATCCTTCCAGACACTTGACGCACATTTTATGTAAACTTATGAAGATGTAATTATTTATGTGTGTTCATGACAAATCACTGTCCTCTTTATCAACAAATATGGAGCCGCATCAACTGCGCAGCATGCTGCTGCTGTGGGATGTACTAGACTCTAACAGGTTCAATAACCCATCCAGATGTGTATTAGTGCTGTTTCCAATTTTAACTATTACAAGTAAAACTAAAATAAATATCCATATACTTGTTTACTTATTTGTCAGATTATACCTTCATAATAAATTTCTAGGAGTGGAATTACCATATCAAAAGGTACACATTTAAAATTCTGCTGAACTTGGGATGCCTGGGTGGCTCAGCGGTTGAGTGCCTGCCTTCGGCCCAGGGCATGATCCTGGAGACCTGGGATCAAGTTCTCACGCTCCCTGCATGGAGCCTGCTTCTCCCTCTGCCTGTGTCTCTGCCTCTCTCATGATTAAAAAAATAAAAAATAAAACCTGCTGAACCTGTTATAATGTCCCCTAGAGAGGTTGAACATAGGTAGGTTTTTAGTTTTAATTTTTAACGATTTTTAAAAAATTATTTGCAATAGAGTGCGTGAGAGAGAAAACAAGCATGACCAGGAGAGGAGTAGAAAGAGAAGCAGACTTCCTGCTGATCAGGGAGCTGATGGGACTCGATCCCAGGACCCCAGGATCATGACCTGAGTTGAATGCAGACATTTAACCGACTGAGCCACCCAGGGGACCTATAGTTCTTTTACTTTAAGTTTTCTCCCTCAGTGTACTATTATTTCTTACTGTTGTTGCTTTGTCTAGCTTTAAGAGCCCTACACCAGTTCCAATATTTTTTTTCAGCACCATGGGCTGGAAAAATAGCCAAGGTTGTTATACAAAGTCTGAAATTTGGCAGGTACTTAACAAATACTACCATCATTATAGCTTACAGAGTGTCATTTACATTTAAAGTCAATGGGCTCCAGGCGTCCCTGGCTGCCTCAGTCAATGGAGCATGCAACTCTTGATCTCAGGGTCATGAGTTCAAGCCCCATGTTGGATGTAGAGATCACTTAAAAATAAAAATCTTTAGAAAATAAAAATTAAAAAAACCCTAAAGTCCATGCACTCCAAAGAATAAAGATATTAAGGTGCTGAGATAGAGATCCCCTGTCATAGTCATTTTGCCTAGTTGAGGGCCTTTTCCTCACATAAACTAATTCACATTTGTATAATAGCACTTTTCAGTGGGCAAAGTGCTTTCACATATATTATTTTCCTTAAGTGAGGTTATTCCTATGGAGGTAGGTAAGACACCAAAAACCTGCCTGAGGTCATGGCCAGTAAGTACATGACAGAGGTGGGACTCAAATCCAGGTCTTCTCTGCTTGTTCTTCCTATTAACCAGGCCACCCGTAGGTGAGATGAGAAGTCTGGTTTCTGAGTCAATACTGCTTTTTCCAAAAAAATACTCTACCATGATGATACGTTTGAAATCTGACATAGCAAATCTAGAAACTACATACAATGTATATTAATTGTATATTTCACCAGCCTTCCATACCTGTGATAAATGACACTTGATCACTGTATACAATTCTTTATATACACTGGTTGATTTGATTTGCTAATATTCTGTTGAAGACTTCTGCATCTATGGTCATGAGAGGTTGGTCTGTAGTTTTCTTGTCTCATAATGCCTTTGTCTGGTTTTGGATTAGGGTGATGCTGGCCTCACAGGATGATTAGGAAGCATTCATTTTGCATCTATCTTCTGAAACAGGTTGTAGAAAACTGGTGTAATTTCTTTCTTATATATTTGATAGAATACACCAATGAACTATCTGGGCCTGGTGCTTTGTTTTATGAGGCTATTAATTATTGATTCAATTTCTTTACTAGATAAAGATCTTTTTATATCATCTATTTCTTCTTGTGTGAGTTTTGAGAACTTGTGTCTTTCAAGGAATTGGTCCATTCATCTAAGATGGTTATCAAATTTGTGAACATAGAGTTGTCTATGACTATTACTACCTTATTATCTTTTTAATGTTTATGGGATCTATAGTGATGTCCTCTCTTTGATTTCTGATATTACTAATTTGTGTCTTTTTTTTTTTTCTTAGACTGGCTAGAGGCTTATCAATTTTATTGATCTTTTCAAAGCAGCAGCTTTTGATTTCACTTATTTTCTCATTTCACTGATTTCTGTTGTAATTCTTATTATTTCTTTCCTTCGGGTTACATTGGATTTCATTTGCTCTTCTTTTTCTAGTTTCCTATGGGGAAACTTAGATTATTGGAGTAGTTGCTATATTTTAAGAATCAGACAGAAGAAAGCAACTGGGCTCATTATTGGAAAAAAGAGTTATTTTACTAGAGTTGAAAGTGAATGGAATTGGAAAAGCCTTAAAAATTTTGAAATGAATACAAGAACAAGGGGACTCATAAAGACCACACAGTACCCCTGAAAACAATACTGCATTGGCAGAGAATAAAATTGTAAGCCCTTTAAGAGGGCAGGAAAACTCCAGCAAAACTGATGAAGATTAAAAAGAGAGAAGACACAAATCACCAAGATCAGGAAATGACACAACAGATTCCACAGCCATTCCAAGGATAATAAAAAGAATACTATCAACAACTTTATGCTCATAAATTTGACAACTTAGGAGAAGTAAACTGATTCCTTGAAATTACAAACTACTAAATATCTGCCAAGATGAAATACATAATTAAGGAAATTTAACTTTATAATTAAAAAGTTGAAGGTGAAGAAATCTCCATGCCCAGATAGTTTCACTGGAGATTTTACCAAACATTAAAGGAAGAATGAACACCAATTTTAGATAATCTCTTCCAGAAAACAGAATAGGAAGGAATACTTCTCAACTCATTTTACGAGGCCAGAATTACCCTGATAGCAAAACTAGACAAAGACAATACAAAATCAGAAAACTACAGGCTAATTTCGCTCATGAATTTAGATGTAAAAATCTTCAACAGAATATTAGCAAACTGAATGAATGAATGAATATTAGCAAACAATGGACTGCGTGTCTGGCTCAGTCAGAAAAGCCTGGAACTCTTGATCTCGGGATTGTGATTTCAAACACTATGTTGGTTGTACAGATTACATAAATGAATAAATGGATGAATGAATGAATTAATTTTAAAAACTGGGGCGTATGAGTGGCTCAGTGAGTTAAGCGTCCGACTCTTGGTTTTGGCTCAGGTCATGATCTCAGGGTTGTAACACTTATCCTCATGTTGGGCTCCCCACTATGTGGGAAGTCTCCTTCTCTCCCTCTGCCATGTCCCCCATTCATATTTCTCTCCCTCAAATAATCCTTAAAAAACCCCAAGACTTAAAAAAAAAAAAAAGAGTATTAGCAAACAAACTCAGTAATGTATACAAAGAATAATACACCACAACCAAGTGGAATTTATTACAGATATGCAAGGCTGGTTCAACATTTGAAAATCAATTAACCCTATCAATACCCTAAAACACAAAAATCATACAATTGTTATCAATTGGTACAGAAAAAAAAGGCTGGGAGCATGTCACCTTATTCATCGCCACTTTCTAAATTTCCAAAGCAAATAAAGCCTTCCTATACCTTGTATTAACAACCCTATATGACAGATGATTAAAACCCAAAGAGAGAAAAATAAAAGTGATTAGTGAAATGGGCTCATTTTAACCACATACCTTTCCTCCTGTGAATAAAAGGGCTCCATTTCTAAGTCCCGCCACTAGGGACATCAGCTGTCGAGACAAAGGGCGTCCTAGGAGGCTATGGGTGATGTGTTCCAGGGAAGATACACCTAAGGAATTCACTCCTCTGCAAAATATATACATTGTTGCAGGATAAAACACCAAGCAGGATAAAATCCAGTTGTAAAAAATTCTGAAACTTTCCTTCCCAGGCTAGTTAATGATTTTTAAAAAGAGTAAAATGTGGAAATTTTCCCTTATTTCAAAGTATACTGAATTAATGCCAAATCTGAGTTACAGCTTTTAAAATTAGTTTTACTAATTTCAAACCTGTTCAGTAACTAGAAGTTTTGTGTTAACAGGACATCTTAAGAAATTTGTCTTAACACACAAACATTCCTCTCAAAATGAATTTTGGTTTGTTAATCAACATAATCACAAATGAGTATGTCTGAAGTATTAGAATAATTGAAGACTTATTTCCTCTTAAAACTTTAACCTTTGAAATCCAGTTTCAATTTGTAGATTATACAGCACGAACATCAACCTACTTCCTGACTCTAGGATTTTATTTCTGATAATAAATATAAATTCCTAAAATCGGAGTCTGAAGAGATTTTACTTTCAACATGAATAATATGCTGTATTTAAACACTGTTACTTTATGGTTTAATCTCTTTACTAGAACATTGATAGATTATATGATTACAGGAAATCCAATCACTACACTACAACTACTAAAAGCTTTGGTGAAGATTCTAAGATGTAATGTTTATATGTGATTCTCATATTGCATAAGAGATAAAGAAATTAAAAGAAGGTTCTTTTCAGATTTGTTTGGTTTTAAAGTTGCGGAAAACACAGATAATCCCAATTACATTAATAAGATAGTTGAAGGAATAACTTAATTTGAAATATTTTTAAACACTCAAGTGTTTTTGGATTTAACTTTTAAAATAAATGTATTTAAAAAATAAAATAAAATAAATGTATTAACTCTAAGAATTACTGTTTTATTCAAGCACATATCATCCAAGTCCTATCCAGTTCTTCCTTCTCATAAATCAAATCTCAAAGCAAAATTTCTAATAAGCTTCAGACTTTTATGTAGTTATCTAAGAAGACAAGGCAAATTACTAAGTGGGGTGTGAAAATAAAAACAATCCTTGAAACAATATCTACTAATGATTAAGATTAGTCAATGGCATTAACATCTACTTTAATGTTTACACATAAAAATCCTGTCAGAGATCATGTCAAACATGACTGTAAACATACTTGTTTGGCTGTAACTTCTTACCCCAAGCAGTTCAGCTTTAAAAAAGGAAGAATAAAGTCAATTTCCTCACTGTTTTCTTCTTTTACCATAGGATCTAGAAGGACCTACAGTAGCAAGGAAAAATCAGTTTTACATTTCAAAGTTACATCTTTGGCCTGTTTTTCTCAGGTCCCAGGAAACTGAATTATAGATTCTGTTACACAGAGAGAAAAAACATATTGTACATGCAAGATCATTACTTAAAATAGCCTTGACAACAGTAATTTACTCAACCAAGGAACATAAATATTTATAGTCAACAAAGAGTAAAGAATGTCATCTCTTCCATACAGTTTACAGATACACCTTTATTTGCAATTTTGATTTGTGTCCTATTTACTCTTCATGATTCTTACATTTCCATCTCCTCTGAATGGCATTCCTTCAATTTTATCTCAAAAGTAGAGAGGCCAAATGTCTAGTTCCCAACCATTCAAATTCTAAAACGACTAGAGCATCTTCAATTCTATACAAGAAGAGGGAATATCCTAACTAAAACATAATATTCTAAAAAGAGTTATAAAATCCTTCTAGAAGAAAAATGATCTGATATTTGTGAAGAGAATTCAAGAACTGCCAAAAAAAAAAAAAGAACTGCGAAAATAATATGGGTTATTGTTCTAATACAAAAATAATTTGAAATCATGATCCACTTGCCAGTTAACACAATCAATTCTATTCTTGAAACTTAATTGTGCATTGATTTTAAGTTTAGGGTAGATCAATTTGTTTAGAGAAGTTAAAGAGACTATATAATAAAATATTTTAAATCAAGTTATTCCTTACTCTTATCAATCATGTTTCTAATACACTTTTAAGTGCACAGTCTTACAGGTAAACTCATACTTTATTATCAATTCAATGTGACAAATATTATCTCATTAAATATTCAATAGTATGTGATTACTTGTATTGTGGTCTTCCGCAGCAGATTGGTACTCAACAAAAAAATGTTTTCTTTGTCTTTTTCCCAAGAATGAACTACATTTAGAGAAAACTCCTTTAACCCTATCAAAAAAAAAAGTAATAAATGTAGAGTTAGCACTGAAACCGAGATGAAATAATTTAAGATTTAAATTTAAGTTTAAATAAAGGCATTCTTCTATAGTAAAATCTACTGTTTACTTATCATTATGTTTCCTGTTCACACATATTACAGTTGGAAAAACAATGAAAAATTTTATGACTTCTTCAATAGGAAAAATATCAAAACAAAATTTACCCACCATCTTTCATTCTCAGCTTAATATGTTCTTCCTCTGATATTATCAAAGGAAGTGTGGTAGTAGTACACTGCTGTAGCCATGAAGAGAACACAGTTTTTACTTCTTCTTCACTTACATCTTTAGGCTGCCAGAGAAAAGGGAAGAACAATAATGAATTATCCTACTACCTAACTGCATGTTAACATCCTTAGCTTAATATCTTATCGTGCTAGTAATATATAAACCTGGATACAGCTGATGGACCTTAAACTAGCCTCTTAAACTCTGAGCCTTGCTCACCTCATGTGAGAACTGTAAGATGGTGTCATTAGTAGGAAACTAGTCAATTACATAAATCACAGTATACCCAATCTGCACCAGTTTGGCACAAGTGATTACATATGCTAGTAGTTCAAGATGCAACCAGCCTAGCACGACCATTTATTATCTGTGTGACTGTGGGCAAATTAATAAAACTCTCTGAACCTCAGTTTTTATAACAAATAAATATTTATCAGAAGTGGTGAAGTTTTAAACCCTCCTTATCTCATGACCAGTGATACACATACCATAATTTAGCTCACTGGGTAACCATTCCAATCCATTCTCCCTTGCCTCCCTGAATTAGAGGTGGGAAAAAAAAGCTCAATTCCCAGCCTGGGAGAGGGAGGGAGGGAGGGAGAGGGGGAGAGAGAAGGGGAGAGGGGGAGGGGCAGGGAGAGGGAGAGAGAGAGAATGAGAATATGAATATGCACGTATGTGTGCCTGCAATCAGCAATCCTTGGAAAGGGCTTCTCTTCCTAATTAAAAGGTAGAGAAACCTTGCAAGAAGGCTTTTGCTTTGTGCCTTCTGCTGCCAAGAATGCATATGTGATGCCTATTAGTACAGCACATGCTTTGCATCTCAGAGGAAGAAAGTTACAGGCTAATGATGGCAGCTAGACCAAAGGAGCCTAGATCCCTGATTAACCACCTATGAGTGCCTCCAAACGTCTCTGTACATGAGAAAAGTAAATTATTTATAAGTTCATTTTCTTTTCTGTTAAGCAGGCCACAGTGCTGAGATACTAAGTACAATGTTAATAAATTGTTCCAAAGGTATGAAGAGATTCTAAGAAAAACACTATTAATTTTTGAAGTTTTTAAAATCAGAATTAAGTTTTTAAAACCCACTTGAAGCTAAAAATGGGATTAACCAAAAATTCATGTAGGGAAGATAATATCTGCCTAGGAAAGTAAAAACCTCTTCATTCCACCATTTCTCAACTGGTCCCTTTCTGTTCTCTCTTCATCCAGAGTCAAGCTTAGCTCTGTTGATTAAGTTCAGTTTAGAACCTGATCACTAGAAAAAGCAGGCTAAACTAAGTACAGGCATTGCTCTTGCATTCTTAAAGATGACAAATAGTCTGTTACTTCTTTGGGTATTACTGGGCAATGGGATTAAAGACCTAAAGGAAGGGTGCCTGGCTCGCTCAGTCAGGAGAGCAAGTTACTCTTGGTCTCTGGGTCCTGAGTTGAGCCCCACGTGCAAGGTAGAGTTTACTTAAAAATAATAATAATAATAATCAAAATGTGAAGAATCAAACATTCTTATGTCCTAAGACATATAATCAGCCCAGAGAAACCTGCCAATGTCTTGAAGTTTCCATTAAAATATGCAACTTGGGGGCACCTGGGTGGCTCAGTGGTTGAGCATCTGCCTTTAGCTGGGGTTGTGATCCCAGGGTCCTGGGATCGAGACCTGCATTAGGCTCCTCATGGGAACCTGCCTCTCTCTCCACCTATGTCTCTGCCTCTTTCTCTTTGTCTCTCATGAATAAATAAATAAAAATCTAAAAAAAAAAAAGGCAATTCTGTAGTAATATCCTATTACTGAGACAAAAAAAATCTAACGACTAGGGGCCACAAGTTTTTGTACATGAGACCTATTTTTTTTCATGAGACCTAATTTTTGAAAAATACCAAGATTAACTCAAAAGTTGAAAGTAGAAATCACTGTGCACCATTCTGCCATGTGTTAAATGTTCAGTTACATACTGTTATGGAAATGGCATTTATTTGTTTTCCTCTTCTCTAGTACATAATATAAGCTATCTTATCTGGGGGTCTCATTAGCTAGAAAGTTCTGTTAAAATGGTTCTTCCATGATATTATAACCATTATGATCTGAAAGATTCAAAAATACCATCTGAATTATCAGAGAAGGATAAAATCATGTTTGAAACTTTTAAAACCTCTAACACAATAATTTCCTGTGTGGTAGTTCTCAGAGAACTGGTAAACTAAACTGGCACAGGTGACAATACCCTGTTAATGAGCAGTCTGGCATTTTCAGGCTGCAGTATGAAACAATATAGGGGAATTTTTTTTAATTACATAGATGTAGAAAAAAATATTTATCTTTTAAAAACCAAATTATTGGAGTGCCTGGCTGGCTCAGACAGTGGAGCATGAAACTATTGATCTTGGGGTCATGAATTCAAGCCCCATGTTTGGCATAGAGCTTATTTAAATAAAAAAAAAGCCAAATTATCCATATTTGCATTGGCACAATATACATAATTTGTGTGTTGCTTACTAAAGACTTTTTGATTTCTGAAAAAGTTAAATAGAATTACCTTAAGATCCAGCAACTCAGGATACCTAAGTGGCTCTAGCGTCCAACTTTTGATGTGGGCTCAGGTCATGACCTCAGGGTCATGAGACTGCCTCAATCTCCATGCTGGGCATGGAACCTGCTTAAGATTCTCTCTCCCTCTCCTCCACCCCCACATTCCCTCCTTTCTCTTAAAAAAAAAAAAAAGGCAACTCAACTCCTAGGTATATACGCAAAAGAACTGAAAGCAGGGATTCGACAGATACTTATACTAATGTCCATAAGAGCATTATTCACAATAGCGAAAAAGGTGGAAACAACCTTAAAGGTCCATGAACAGATGAACGGACAAACAAAACATGGTATATGCATACAATGGAATATTATTTAGCCACAAATAGGAATGAATACATTTTACCACTTAGATGAGCCTTAAAAACAAGTGAAATATACCAGATGCACAGGACAAAATATTACAGGATTCCACTTATATGAAATATCTAGAATAAACAAATTCAGAGACAGAATATAGATTACAGGTTACCAGGAGTTGGGAAAGAAGGGTATGGGACATTATTACTTAATGAGCAGTTTCTGTTTGGGGACTGGAAAAGTTTTAGGAATAGTCAGTGGTTACTGCACATTATGAATGTAACTAATGCTGCTAAACTATACACTTAAAAATGGTTAAAACAGCATTTCCTTATATGCATTTTACCACAATAAAATAAAACAAAGACTTCTTTGCCCTCCTAGCCAAAAGGAATACAATATTCTTTATTATTTGGCTGAAGCAACTAGAAATTTTACAAGACATGTAAAACAGCTATGATATAACATAAATTTGAACTCACTAAGTTTTCTCTAGGTTGTAACTTTAGAGATCTTGGAATTTTAGGAGTAATTTCCACTGGAGTTATTCTGACTACTGCATGCATTTCTATATTTAGTCTCTTTCTCAGGTCATCTGGAATCTGAAATTTAAAAATAAATAAAAATATAAATATGTGCAAAACTTGATTTAAAATATCCCACAGCATGTTGTTATTAACTTCTACGAATTCAGGTAAATTAATCAAAGTTATCAGGATTCAGAGTAACCAGACAGATATTCAGGCACTGCCGTATCACAAACATTTCAATTTTTCCCCTTCATTTCTTTCTTTTCACACCCTCTTCAGAATGAGATCCCTCGATTTTGCTCTCTCAAGTGGAGCCTCTGTGAGTACTGGATGGCGCCTGCATCCAGTACTGCCACCCTCAGTGCCCACGGCTGCCTATCTTTAAAATGGACTGGGAAGTGTGGACCCCTTGCTCTCTTATATGCTCTCTATGCTTTTACCTGGCACTTCTTCACCCTGTCTTCACCCCATGGTTTCAAGGAAAAAGATGGTATTCCCACCAAATGGCAGAACCATTAATAGAAAAGAGAAGTCCTATTGAGTTCGGGGTTAGACATTTTTATTCTGAAGATGGAGCAGGATCTCCAAAAACTAAGGAGTCTAGAACTAACAGAAAATAATGAGCTGATGGGCCAGAATGTTAGAAAATGACATAAGCCAGAGAGATTAAAAATTTCTAAGCTGTCAGCACAGAGGTCACAGGTGAAACCATCAATAATAGGAATCTACAAAGGAGAACCCCTTTCTTTCCTATTTTTCCTCCCTGTCCTAATAATTTCCTCTGTTTATCACCATGAAGCCTCACTTCACAACAGCTCAAATTAAGTTCAAATAAAACGGACTGGTGACCACATAAAGTGCGCAGGAGTATCTGAGGCCAGGCTGGGGCAGCAGAACACTTGCTGTGTTCCCCCCCCGCCCCCCCCCCAGGCCCACGGTTACAGAGGCGGTGCAGCAGGCTACGCTGCTTCTGGGTACACTCCAATCCGGGGCCCACCTCACATTGCGGTCTCTATCCGGGCATCCCCCCCCGCCCCCCAGCGAGACCTTCCTCTGCTTTCAGGAACTGGGAAGCAAACCTCCTGCAGGTACTAAAGACGCCAGGCTTCGTAAGGCACCCACGCTAAGTGCCAACTTGAGTAGGCCCACCCGGCTGTGAATCCCAGCTGTACTTCTTATGAAACCTCAGGCAAGTAAAATAACAAAAAAACAAAACACCTCAGGCAAGTAACTGTGAGCACCCTGGGCCTATTCCTGTCTAAGTTTACAGCTGTCCAAGTTTACTCAACCAGAAAACACGCAATCTTTACCCACACAAGGACTTTACCTTGCAATCAGGAATGTGTCCCTGCACGGACTTTAGATACTCTTTCTTAATATACTGACTTTCAAATTGTATATAAAATGTTATTCTAATTCATAATTTGGAGAATTTCAAGGATAATGAAATTATTTTCTCCCTAATAATCAATTTTATACTAACCCAGACTTTCCCAAGATGAAGAGCTTCTACAGTTTTGGTGTATTTTATGGCATTCTTCAATTCCTCAAGTCCATTCCAGATGACTTGTAGCACACAGGCCTTAGCTTCTTGACTGTAGTCTGAGGTGCCTGGTTCTTGATCTAGTGGTTCTGGCATTGGCTTCTCTTTTTCAGGTGACAGGACATTTTGCTTTGTTTTACTTTGCTGTTGCTTTGGAGAAAGTAGCTTAATTAGCTTTCCATAGGTCACAGTAAAGCTGGGCACCACATCAAAATATTCCTGGTCCCATGGAAATATGTGAACAGCATAGTGTTTGTGAAACTCTGAAGTTGCCGTTACATTATGCACACTGGGAGGCTGCGATTTGCACACTCTGAAAATATTGTCTATAGGAACAACTTTGGACTGCATGTTTTTGAATGCATTCATTTCAGTTAAACCCCAGGATAGCTCCAGTTTCTTCTCAGACCCAAAAGAAAAAATGCTTCCTATCAGAGTCCATAAGCTTGGCATGGATGGTGAGTCAGCTGTAACCTCTGAATCTGTCTTATTAGACCCAGTAACTGTCAATCCTTTTTGGTCTTCTCCAAAATTATTAAATTTCCCATGTGCATCATCTGCTTTGGAAAATGTATTCTCCTTGGCTTGGCGGGTCTTTGGCAGAATAAGGAGTTTAGTGTCAGTTTCCAGCCTTCCATAGGCAGCAGTTGGCATTAGTGCAACTGGGGGGAAAACAAAGCTCATTAGTACATGCTCACCTCTGCTGTGGATTCAAGGCCATGGTGTAGAACACAATGGAAAATATAATAGCACCTACCAATTTGGATAAATATGTAAGTTTGTTGATCAACCCAAACAGGAAAAATGGCTTTTGGAAAAACTATTCGAATTTGATCCAGAAGATGCTGTTCAAGGGAAGCGGCATGCAGCTCCTATAACCAACAAACAAAAAGATCTATTCACTTTACCTTTTGTCATTCCGTGTCCGGTAAGGAAATCACAATTCATTCTTATAACTTGAACCAACTCAGAATATAGAACTTAGCTCAGACAAGAGAAATCTAAAGACACTGATATTTTGGTTCCCAGTTATGGGATGAGGAAGTCACAGGGATAAAAGGTACAGCATAGGAAATGTAGTCAATGGTATTGTGAGTGTTGTCTGGTGACAGTTGGCAGCTACACTTGTGGTGAGCACAGCATAAGGTATGGAGACAACTGAGTCACTATATTGTACAACCTGAAACTAATGTTACATTGTATATCAGTTATACTTCAACATAAACAACTGCACAGTAATAGTTTAACCTTAAATTGGGCTAGTTCTCATTGTATTTTCTTTACCAGTATCTCCCAGTCATCTGCTGAGAGGGGTTCCACCTCAACCTGTTGACAGGATACCACATGGGAGCACAGCTTAAGAAACACCTAGAAAAAATAGAAAATATAAAACTACTTTTAAAAGACTTTTTTGTATCCCTAGGAAATAAGTTCTCTCTTTAGGTAAGCAGTTAAGTGCGAACAAGAAAGTACGTGTGCCTGCATGCATCGTGTTGATCTTCTTCGGACAAATATTAAGCACTTATTCTTAGCTAGGCCTTGATATACTCAATATTTTAGAAAAAACCGTCTCACAACTAATTATAGAAAGAGGGAAAATATCCTAGCACATGTTTTTTAAAAAATAAAGATAAGGGGGATCCCTGGGTGGCTCAGCGGTTTACACCGCCTTCAGCCCGGGGTGTGATCCTGGAGTCCCAGGATCGAGTCCCACGTCGGGCTCCCTGCATGGAGCCTGCCTCTCTCTCTCTGTGTGTCTCTCATGAATAAATAAATTAAAAATCTTAAAAAAAAATAAAGATAAGGAGTGCCTGGGTGGCTCAGTCAGTTAAGCGCCCAACTCTTGATCTCAGTTCAGGTCTTTTAATTTTTATTTTTTTAAGATTTTATTTATTCATGAGAGACACAGAGAGAGGGGCAGATATAGGTAGAGAAGTAGGCTCCTTGCAGGGAGCTCAATGCGGGACTCGATCCTGAACCTCAGGATCAAACCCTGATGCTCAACCAGTGAGCCACCAAGGCATCCTGTCAGTTCAGGTCTTGATCTCAGGGTTGTGAGTTTGGCTTGAATGGGGCTCCCTGCTGGGTGTGGAGCCTCCTTTAAAAAATAAATAAATAAATAAATAAATAAATAAATAAATAAATAAATAAATAAATAAATAAATAAATAAACAAATAAACAAACAAATAAATAATAAATAAAACCATTAACAGAAATGTAATTTAAACATGTTAGAAGAAACAAGGTCATCAAATCATGGCTTGATCTAGTATATACATACTCTACTATTTCTAGAGGTTTTACTACTGTTAGTTTTATAACAAACCTCAAGCCATGGTGCTTCTAGAAAAGTAAAGAAAAAAAAATGCAGAGACAGAGATCAGAGCCAGTTATTTAGGAGTATAAACATTCACAACTGAAAGTAAGGTAAAACAGATGTGCCCTCACTCCAGCCTGTCGATGTATGTGAAATTCTAGTGTGTGTCAGAAGCTGGAATCTACCACCTTACTTTCTTCTGCTTTTCTTTTGGCATTTCTGGGGATTGAGGATTAAAATCCATAGTTACTGAGTATTAAATGCTCCAGTGAACCAGCCCTTCCCTCTCTGCTTTTGCGGACTGGAGCAGAATCTCCCCTTTCCCTTCGTGGTATTACTACAATGTACAGAGGATCTGCAGACACTCAGGTAAAAGTTCGCTCTGAAGCAAACAGGCATTAAAAACACACAAGACTATTCAGAGGCTGATGACGACAGCAAGGTCGGCAACAGGAAGAGGGTGTTTCCCATCAGGAAACAGAGACAACAGAGCTTTAACTGGCTATGCAATCCTGGGCGAAATGTTGTGTGTCCCCAGGTTTGGACAGCAAGGCACAAAAGTTAGTGATGTCCAGGGTCGCTGTGGGACTGAAGTTTTAAGATTCTACCAGAGAGGGATCCCTGGGTGGCTCAGTGGTTGAGCATCTGCCTGCGGCTCAGGGCATGATCCCAGAGTCCCGGGATCGAGTCCCACGTCAGGCTCCCTAAGGGGAACCTGCTTCTCCCTCTGCCTGTGTCTCTGCCTCTCTCTCTCTCTCTCAGGAATAAATAAAATCTTCAAAAAAATAATAAATAAATAAATAAATAAATAATAAAGATTCTACCAGAGATTTAGGGTAAGCAAAGGACTAATACTAGGCGTATGGATGTCTCATTAGTGGCCTATACGCATTATCAAAAACATGCATAAATAAAATTAGTCTGTGTTCAAAACAGTTAAAAAGATGAGGCACTTTTTGCATATGTTGTGGGAAACTGGTAATAGAACGCATCTATCAAAATTTTAAATGCAGAGTCCCCTAGACTCTGCAATTCAATTTGTATTATTTCATTCCATGTATATGTAGAGATGTTCAATCCGTATTGTTTGTGATACATGGAAATGTATCTCTGATATATCTTGTGGAGAAAAATGGCAGAAAACGTATATGATCCCATTCTTTAAACCCTAAAAGTATACTGAGATCCCAACATACAATACACACTCGTTCTGAGGCTGGGGTTAGAGAAAGAGAAAAACATCTTTTTACTTTCAATTGTAAAATATTTGTAATGAATATGCATTACTTCTGTAATTAAAAATATTTAGAAGGGAATAAATTGGTGAATAAAATGAAAACATAAATCTAAGTCCTTGGGGACACATGGGTGGCTCAGTTGGTTAAATGTCTGACTTCAGCTCTTGTCATGATCCCAGGTCCTGGGATCAAGCCCTGCATTGGGCTCTCTGCTCTGTAAGGGGCCTGCTTCTCCCTCTCCCTCTGCCTGCTGCTCCCCCTGCCTATTCTCTGTCAAATAAATAAATTTTAAAAATATTAAAAAAAAAAGTATAAGCCTTCTAACTTTGGGGATTTACAATCTAAGCATATTAAATTGATAGGCAAGACTAAAATAGAAAAATATTAACTCCTTTGTTGGATAGTTTTTTAAAAATCAAGTATGACCTTGGAAGATTATAAGGTTTTGCAGAAACATATGAAGTTCAATAACAGTAAGTAAAACTCAATAATTCATAAAGCAAAAATAATTGCATACAAACAGAATTAGGGAACCTGGAAAGTAAGTAAAATAGAACACAAAGTCAAATAGGGAGCAGACTACAAGATAATAACTGAACAATAGCATATAGTTAACTTGAATATCCTGGACTGGTTATAGCAGCACAAAGTTAGGTATCCTTTCATCTCCCTAAAAAAATTAATCTGAACTTTTTCTTTCCATTGCTGTGTTGTGTGACATTAGGAGAAAGTCACAGTCATCAGTCATTTTGTACTCACCTGGTCCCCATTTGAGAGTCCAAGTTTCTGACCAACGTGTCTATTAATTTCAGCCACATTTTCGCCTTCATCACTAAAATGCCTGCCTTCCACCCAGCTCAGGAATGCAGGTTGGTGACCCCAGGCTACTTCTATAGCTTGATTCTATTTATTCAAGAAAGAAGAAAGGAGGAGGGGAGAAGAAATAAGAAAGGAGGAGGGGAGAAGAAATTAGAAAGGAGGGATGAGAGTTTTTATCTTTTATGTGAATCCAGTAACGCATATAAACTATTACTGCAACCCACACATACAAAAAGAGTTCTATGGACAGGTGATAGCTCTCTGTTGTGTACATTAGAGCATTTAAAAAGTTATAATCATTTTCAATACCCAAAGCTGGTGATGCTGTGGGTGGAATCCGTGTCCTTGTATTCTTATGATGGCATTACAAATTCATTCAACCATTCCAAAATTCAAAATGGCAATAGGTAGCCAAAGAATTTACTTACACTTTGAGCTATATATATATATGTGTGTGTATATGCATATATATATATATATGAGTACTTATTCTGAATTAATGATTCAAAGAAGAAAACTGCACCAGAACATACCTCTGCAGTATTTTCTATAACAGTGAAAACAAAGGTCTATTAATGGGGAAATTATTAAATAAGCTACAAATTTACTATTTTAGTAAAGCTATTTATCATTTAGAAATATACCATGATTAAAAATGTAACAGTATTTATTAGAGAATGTACACGGTAAAGCACAAAAATTACAAAAGCATAAAACAATTCCTGTTCCCAGAGTACTTACTGTTAATAGTTTATGTACACTTCCAGAAATTTTATATTACACAGCTTCTTAAATAATTTTGAAAGTTTTACAACTATGGAATTATAATACAAAAATCAAAATATAAAATGTATTCTCATTAAGATCAGTTATATAAAATATGTTAAGTTTGTGGCTAAGGACTAAAAAAACAAGATTTTCTATGATCAAAGAGTTACTAACTCATTATTGAAACCTTAAAAAATATGTAAACTTGGAAAGAAAAAAGGAATTACTGATATTTCCTCCACAATAAGACAAGTACATGAACAATCTTGTCTATTTCTAGCCAATCCTGTTTTTGAGGCAAATTCTTTACATAGTTGTATATTATAGTCATGATTTAGTATTTTTCCAATTAATATTGTCTCATAAGCATTCACACACATATATCATTTTTTCAATAAAAAGTAAGGACACTTCATTAATAGCCATCAAAACTTACCATCTCAGGAAGTTTTTGTATTAAAATCATTTATATCAAAATAAATTCATCAAATTATTAAATATTAAATTCACTCATTTACATCAAATTTTACTATCTCAAACTAGTTATAGGCCACTTACTGTTCCTTTAAATAGGAAAAAAAAATCTCAAAATATGTTTGAGCAACTTGAGGCAATATAATGTACTTTAAATTAGCCATGTTATTAAAATGTTAAAACTTCGTATAGAAGAAATTCATCATGTATCACTTAGGTGTGTAATTTTTCTCACAATTCACAGGGTAGTCCAACTGCCCAAACTGACAAAACCTTTCCCCCAAACAAAGTGTGATCAAGTATACAGAGCCCAGGATTTGGAGTCAAATTCCAAATTACTATGTCAGCTGTGTGCAAACTGAGGTTATAAGGGTGAAGGTGACCAACCCACCAGGTGCTTTCCACACAGTTTCATCAGAGTCAGTGGCATATAATCCAGATCATCTATTTCATAAGAAGAAACTTTCAAAACCAGAGATGTTAAATAGGGAAATACAAAATGCGTCCCAAAGTATCAAAGAGGAGAACTCTACCAACTCACTGGAAAAAGGAAAATCAACAACTTTATTAAACAGGAAAAATACCTTAATTTTTCATTTGGTCAAAATGTCGTAACCAGCTCTACAGTCAGTCGTAATATATGTTCAGTTGGAGTTAGTACACTTTGCAGACTACTGTGAGTCCACATTCATGTAAACTTTTTCCACCTGAACCACAGAACCTCGGGCAAAGAGAAGCAGCCAATAGACTGGAGAGAACGGTGCTCCTTTCCCAGGAGGCCAATCAACAAATGACTGACCACCTGCTTTTGCCCATACCTGCAGTATCTGTATCACTTGGAGGGAACTTTCCAGTGAAATCACAGGCTTTCAGGCCCTTGGACCAGCCAGATCCGAGGCCTGGGTTCTCCCTTGCTAACACAAAAGAAATGCTAAGTTTGTACCCAGCCATTTCTGGATGGAGATTTAGATTTGTCTGCATTCAGTGTGGCTGCGAACCCTCTCCCCATTTCAGCAATCACAGGAAGCACGGAGCCCAGCATACAGACAAAATAACGGAGTTAGAGCAATGGTTCTCAACTGGCGGTGATTTTTGTTCCCAGGAGACATCTGGCAACATGTGGAAACTTTTATTTTTTGGCTGTCACTACTGAAGAGGAGATGTACTACTGGCATCTAGTGGAAAGAGGTCAAAGATATTGTTAAATATCTTAAAATACTCACCACAGTCCCCCACAACAAAAAATTACCCAGCCTCAAGTGCCAAGATTAAAAAATCCTGGGTTAAAGCATCTACTGCGTATCCAGCCCCAAAATAAGTACTTGGATAAGCAAAAGATGATACTTGAAACATAGAATAGAGTACAAGAGGGATGTGTCACATAAACAGTAAAGTTTTGAAAAGGAGACAAATGTGATCAACTACGAATTTGAAAGCCAGATGGAGGAGGTATAAGATTATGCTCAGCTTTTGAAGGCATGAAATGAAGAAAAGCGTTTTGGGGAGAAAGACTAGCATGAGTAAGAGTACAGAAGTAGGAAGGAGCTGGGTTATGAAAGAAACAGTGAGAAGGCCAGCCTGGATGCTGCAGAGTGAGAGACAAGAGAACAAATTAACTAGAAATGGTACCCTCCCTAGGACTGCTAGTTTCCTAACATGTGGAAGTACAGAAATGACCTAGAAACCCCAGGTCCCTATCACCATTAACATTCTATGATTCTATAACAGTGAGTCTCAGTTCCTTTGCATCCACTAGCCCAAAGATATTTTTATAATTACAGATGCCTGAAGCTCACTCACCAAGATTCTGATTCAACAGGTCTGAGAAAGGACCAGAACACTCCCATTTTTAAAAGCTTCAAGGTAAGCCTGACACAGGCCAGAAAACCACTCTTCTGACCCTCATCCCCTTACAGCATTACAGTATTACGTACTCCACACTTCAGCCCAAAAAAAATAATTCAACACATTAGCTCCCAATTCATGACTTCCTGCTTTAATAATTCACCTATGCCTTCTAGTCCAATAATTCTAAGGGGGGGGGGAATAATCTAGAAAAAACAGTTCCAGAGAAGTAAGATGGAAAGGTAGGGTACTTAAAACTATTGGAAACTCTTAAATATCCCCCTCATGATTAGCCAGTTGTGGGTACCATGCATTCAGGGTTTCTGAGGATTTCAAATATCCCATCCCTTTGCCTGCATAAACACAAACTCACCGACTACATACAGGTCTCTATCTCTAGCTATGAACATGTGGATGCTGTATTTCTGCCAGTAATTAATAAAAAAAGGACGACTGACGGCAGAGGCTCAAGTAAGCCTACCTATGTACTTCCCGGTATGCAGAGTTCTCCTGCACACCCCTGGCACACCCCGGGCTGGGGGGGGGGGGGCTCTGGTTAGTGACCTACTCCGCACGGAGGCTCCGCTGTTAATCTACAGGGGCTCTGCCCACCGAACCCGCCCCTCCCTCTGGAGTCCAGGACCGCAGTCGTGCAGGGATCTGGAGATCACTGCCAAGAAAAACATTTTTCGAGATAAAAATAAAAATTAGCGACTTCCCAGGAGCTTTTCCAAACCGGAGTGAGGAATATTTCTGAATGCAGACGTAGACTGTTAGGATGTCTGTAAGCCCAGTCTCATCGAGTGAAAACACCTGGAACAGGGCAAGTTGAAGGCCCAGGGCTGCACGACCTGCCCCCGCCGGCCGTGCCCTCGAGGGGCCCTCAGTCCGGCCTCTCAACGGCTCGGCGGCGACGGCGGAAAGGCAGCCCTCGCCACGCCGCTCCGGGCGGGGGGGCCCTGGGGGTCGCCGCGTCCCTCAAGGGCCTCAGCCCCGTCCGCCCCCAGGCTGCTACCCCGGTGTCCCGGGTCTGGGCGGGGAGCCCCGTCCACGGGCGGCGCGGTACCTGCAGCAGGTGCAGCTGGGCCACGAGGCGCCGCGGCAAGTGGAGGAAGCAGTCGCGAGCGTTGGTGAAGACGACAGTCGCCGCCACCTCACCCCCGTCTGCACCCGCCAGGCGGTCGCCGCCCCACATGGTCCAACGGCGAAGACGCCCCCGCCGCAGCAGCCCGCTCCAGCCGACGCCCGCCGCCGGGCAGGCCGAGGGCGTCGGAGCCGGAGAAGATCGATCGGCCCCGCCCCCTGCGGCCACGCCCCCTCGCCGCGCGCCCGCACGAGGAGGGAGGGGCAAGCAAGCTTCCCGCGCAGTCTGGGGCCTCTCCGCCGCGCCGCCGGAGGGCGGCACCTCGCTCCCCCAAGTCTCGCTCGCCGGAAACGCTGCGGGCCGCCGTCGACTCTCCAGCCAATGCAGGCACGCCTTGGCCCATTCCCCTCCGTCATTGGGTGAGCGGGAGGGCGGCCCGGCGGATGTTGTCGTTTTGGCCGGAGCCAAGTAGGCAAGATGGCGTCGAGTGGCGGGGAGCTCGGGGGCGTATTCGATCACCACGTCCAGAGGGCTGTGTGCGACACGCGCGCCAAGTATCGGGAGGGGCGGCGGCCTCGCGCTGTCAAGGTAAAGTGACTTGGGTTTTCACTCGCTGTCCTCGATAGCTTTATCAGGCCCGGCTTGATAGATGAAGGCTTGAGGGGCTGCGGGCCTGCCCCAACCAGGCATCGGAGGTGGGACGAGAGGCCGGCGCCCAGTTACCAGACGCTCTCACGAACTCCTCGGCTACCTGCTAGAACGTCAGCTCCGCAGGGACGGGGCTCTGCTTTAGTCTTTGTATCTTCCGTGCTTACGTGGTAGCGCCCAGTGAATCGTTCTCGCTCGCTCTCCACTTAACTGCTCCTGAGCCAACCTCCGGAAAATATGTCCATTGAAGATAGTCTGTGTTTTAATTAGAGGCCCTGACACGGAGGGGTGAATTTATTCTTTATTTTTTATGAAGACCGGCTGAACAGAATGTTTCTTCTTTTCAGGGCTTTAAGTTTTTTTTTTTTTTAATTTTAATTCTAGTATAGTTAACCTACAGCGTTATATTAGTTTCAGGCGTACTATATAATTCAGCACCTCTGTACGTTTAGTGCTCATCATTGTACTCTTTAATCACCAGAGCTTTTTTCTTTTTTTTTAAACTTTTTTTTATTTATTTATGATAGTCACAGAGAGAGAGAGAGAGAGAGAGAGGCAGAGACACAGGCAGAGGAAGAAGCAGGCTCCATGCACCGGGAGCCCGACGTGGGATTCGATCCCGGGTCTCCAGGATCGCGCCCTGGGCCAAAGGCAGGCGCCAAACCGCTGCGCCACCCAGGGATTCCCCCCTCCCCCTTTTTTTTAAATAGAAGATGTGTCTTAGGCCTCTTTGGAAAATACATTTTTTAATTTAAATTCAGTTAGCCAATGTATAGTCCACAGTTTCAGATGCAGATGTTCAATAGTTTATCAGTTAGGTATACCACCGAGTGCTCATAACATCATGTGCCCTCCTTAGTACCCATCACGGAATTACCCCATCCCCACCCACCTCCCCTCCAGCAACCCTCAGTTTGTTTCCTAGAGTTAAGAGTCTCTCTTGGTGTTTCTCCCTCTCTGATGACCTCCCGTTCAGTTTTCCCTCCCTTAACTACGATTCTCTGCGCTGTTTCTTATATTCCGTGTATTAGTGAACTGGAGAACTGGAGAGTATTATGTTATTTGGTGAAATAAGTCAATCAGAGAAAGACAGGTATCACATGGGTTCACTAATATGTGGAAAATACATTTTTATGTGTCTGCATTTCTTTTAGGTATATACAATCAATTTGGAATCTCGGTACTTGTTAATTCAAGGAGTTCCTGCAGTGGGAGCAATGAAGGAATTAGTTGAGCGATTTGCTCTATATGGTACAATTGAACAGTATAACGCTTTAGATGAATACCCAGCAGAAGACTTTACGGAAGTTTATCTTATTAAATTTATGAATTTACAAAGTGCAAGGTAATGTGCAAGTTAAGCTTAAGTTTCATTTCCGCCATTCCCATTGCTATCACATTGGTCCCAGTTATCCCTCGTTCATACCTGAATTACTGAGTAATGCTGTATTATTTTAATCTTACTCCAGTCTTTTTTTTTTTTCTTTTTAAGATTTTACCCATTTATTCACGAGAGACACAGAGAGAGAGGTAGAGACACAGGCAGAGGGAGAAGCAGGCTCCCTGCAGGGAGCCGGACGTGGGACTTGATCCCAGGTCTCCAGGATCACGCCCTGGGCTGAAGGCAGGTGCTAAACCGCTGAGCCACCCGGGCTGCCCTATCTTAACTCCAGTCTTAAATGTCATTACCTTGCGTAACAATCTTCAGTCATATATTGTGGTAGATTACAAAATAGGTTTGGATAAGTTTTCGAACTTCACTGCTTACTAACATCGTGACTTTGGACAAGTCATTTAACCTCAACAAGCCTGTCTTTTCTAGTCTCTGAAATCTGTATGGTAAAAGGACCTACTTTGAGGGTTGTGTGAGGATGGTATGAAATAATCCACGTAAAGGGGTGAAACATAGTGCCTCCTGTTGAGAATGCAGTAAACATTAGCTATTGAAGTTCTTTTTTTTTTTTTAAACCTGCTGGGATTTTTTTTTTTTTAAGATTTTATTTATTTATTCATGAGAGACACAGAGAGAGAGAGAGAGAGAGAGAGAGAGAGGCAGAGACACAGGCAGAGGGAGAAGCAGGCTCCATGCAGGGAGTCCGACATGGGACTCAATCCTGATCTCCAGCCGCTGAGCCACCTGGGCTGTCCGCTATTGAAGTTCTTAATGCTATGCACCTATGTGAATTGACTCAGTCTTTTCCTGCCTTCTGCATAAATTCTGTGCTTCAATAAGGGGGAAATGCCTCATCTAGTTTTATGTTTACCCCATTCTTGTCACTAATTTGCTCCAATATCCATCCTTTGGCTATTACCATTCATACTTCCTTTTTCTCTCTTTTTTTTTTTTTTAAAAGATTTTAATTACTGTATTCCCAACATGCTCAAACTTACAGCACCAAGATCAAGTATCACATGGTCTACCGACTTAGCCAGTCAGGTGCCCCCCCATTCACATTGTCTTTCCGTACTCCAAATAGCACTTGCAGTCTGCCACAAAAGCACTTGATTTTTTTTTTTTAATTTTATTTATTTATGACAGGCACACAGTGAGAGAGAGAGAGAGAGGCAGAGACACAGGCAGAGGGAGAAGCAGGCTCCATGCACCGGGAGCCCGACGTGGGACTCGATCCCGGGTCTCCAGGATCGCGCCCCGGGCCAAAGGCAGGCGCCAAACCGCCGCGCCACCCAGGGATCCCAAAAAGCACTTGATTTTTATAGGGTTATGTATTGTTCTCAGTTTGCTCCCTTATGTAATCTCACTTCCCCTAACCAACTTCCCCTCATAGTTAGGGAAGCATATTTTCTAGAGTTTTTGCATCTCCCACAGCACATAATACGGTAGGTTGTGGAGTTCCGCATCTCAATTTGAATCATAGCTCCACAAACTAGTGTGAGCATGGCTAAATTATAAATCTCCCGAGGCCTCCTTAGGTCCTCACAGGGTTTTATGAAATCTTAATTCAGGTGAAGCACTTAGGGCACTGCCTGGTGTGTGATAAAATCTCAATAAGTATTTTTATCATTATCCCTGGACACACAAGTACTTAAATATTTATTGTTGTATAATGCTTAGCCAGTTACAAATGTTTGAAAAGTATTTGTTGAATATCATCATGTAACTTTCTCATTGCTTATATATTCAATATTTACTCAATTATTGAAGACTTTATAATTACAATATTATTTTTGTGAATCCATTGTGCTGAAAAGGCTAAATTGGGTATGAGCTAACTCTTAAGGAACATTTAACACATGACCACAGATTGTGTACCTCAAGTTAACTATTGGCTCCTAAGTTGGTTAAAGGGAGTCTGGTTATGTGTGGATGACTTAGCTCAAAATCTGTTAGTAGTATAGAGCGAGGGGATGAAAGGCTTGAAGAGTACGCACTAGATCAGTAGAGTCAATACACCATACACAAGTAGAACATCTTAACTCCCAAACCATAGGATGTATGTACACCTAGCAAAACCTGGACTTTTAGATCAATGCATTGCATACTATTTCAGCTTTCATCCTAAGTAGGTCAAGATTAATAAAACATGCTATCACATATTTCTGTTTAGGACAGCCAAGAGAAAAATGGATGAACAGAGTTTCTTTGGTGGATTGCTTCATGTATGCTATGCTCCAGAATTTGAAACAGTTGAAGAAACTAGAAAAAAATTACAGGAGAGGAAGGCTTATATAGCAAGAACTACTAAAAATAAAGGTTTGTAAAGCCAGGTACTAAACATCTTTTATGTGTCAGGCACTCTGCGAGGTATATCATCATAAAGCCTCCCAGTCTAGTGGGAAGAGAGATAAATAATCACAATATTCATTAACTATAAACTGCAGGATTCTGTGCAGCACTCTCAAGTAATCTGGGCTGGAAAGGGAAAGATGTTAGTTTGTGAAAAGAGTCCTACAGGATGAAAGAGATGGCTGAGTTTTGAAGGTCAAATAGACATTACTCAGAAGGGGAGATGGAAAGGTAAGCCAGGTAGCATGTTTAAAGAACAGAGGAATAAGTAGGCATCATGTGTATGAAGGAACTACAAGTAGTACAGGGCAACCACAACATGGGCTGCTCCTAGAAATAAGATTAGAAAAGAGGACAGGAACTGAATCATGAAGTGCCTCGTGTCTGTCCCATGCTGAGGAATTAAGGCTTGACATAAAGGCAGTGAGAAACAATTATGATTTGCAGACTAGTTACCTACTGGCAATCTAAAACTATTAAATGTGAAAAAGTCCCACTTTTGACCAGTTGCTGGCCAGATACGCCATATGCCCCACTGAGTTTCCCTAGACATAAATTACAGGTGCCTGGAATAGGGTCTCATGGGATTTGGTACAAGGATTGTAGGAACAGAGCACTCAGAATTGGACTAAAATAATGTGTGTGGTCTGAAATCTGAATAGTCCTGGAGGCTCAGATGACCAGTTTTCCACCCTTTAGTTGAAAGACCAAGTCAGTATCCACACAGTTATTGAATATGAGGAGTTTATGACTGGGGAAGTGGCCTGTGGCAGAGGTGAAGAGAAGTAAGGAGGAAAGACTCTTGGAAGACTTATTTGAAAATTTGGCAAGAGAACTGTTGAGAGCCCATGGTCATTAGTAGACCCTGAACTTTAACCCATGGGATATGTGAATAGTTCTAGGAAAACTTTATGTTTGTGTGGCAAATAAAATTACAAAATATGGGTCCAGCATACTGCCTCCTTTAAAAATTAAACAAAAACTAAGCAGCATGATACATTCATACAGTAGACTCCTCTGAAGCTGTGAAGAAAGAAGCATTCTATGTAATGACCAAGAAAAAAATCTCTAAGATCTCTAAGATCTACAGTTAGCTGGAAAATGCAAAGGAACAAAGAAATGGATATTATGGAAAAAGAGGAGTTGGTGGGAGAAGGAAAAGTAAGACCTAGCTGGACAGATAAATAAGAAAGAATTGGGATTACTTATGGAGGAGTGGAAACCAGGAAGATGGGGAGCAAAGAAAGAATGACACTTGACACTAATATATTCTTTATCCTTTTTAGCTTTTAAATACAAGGTATTGCCTGCTTAAGAAATAAATTATTCGGGGTACCATTGTTAACATTTAAAGTAATGTTTGTTTTTAAAATTATACTTTTCTGAATGATGAAAACAATAAAACATTTCTTTTTCCTCTTATCTCACCTTTTAAATTTAAATTGTAATGTGAAGATCATTACATAACAAAGAAGAAACCGGTTACAGAGCTTAAAGACACAAAAGATTTCAGACAGAACTTCCATTCAGGGACATCTGGATTTCGTGCAGTCACTGTGAATACTTCTGCTGGCAACTCAGACCCTTGTCTTCCTTATTCTTGTGAATTCCCTTTATGTTATTTTTCCTCAAAATGTACATGTTCGTCAGGGGAACATATGGGTAAAGCATCCAACTTCTCTCAGGACAGTAGAAACCATGCTAAAACAATGGAGCATTGTATGCACAATGACTCTTTGCAGAAGATACAAATGAAACCTTTAAAAAATTCTTTGGCCTTCCCTGGTGCACAAAAGGCTATTACTTCTTCAGAGGCAGTTGAGAGATTTATGCCTAGGACAACACAACTGCAGGAGCGGAAAAGAAGAAGAGAAGACGATCGTAAAATTGGAACTTTTCTTGAAACAAGCACAAGTAGTAATGAGGTTATGATTGGGCCTCTGTTACCAGACATACCTAAAGTGGACATGCATGACGACTCGTTGAATACCACAGCAAATTTAATTCGGAATAAACTTCAAGAGGTAAGATCAGTTTTAAAAAACTATTTTAAGAGACCATCTGGTCATAGGACTAACAGCTAAATCGAGATTTGTGGCAGCTAAAGTATTGTCATTAATTTTTTTCATTTTCAGTTTTTTTATTTGTTTTTCTACAGTTCTGTTGAATTAACTGAATTTGATTAACAGAAATGTATGTGCTTTGATGTCATTAATCCTTGCTTTAAACAATGTATTTCATATCATTCTAGCTCTAAACTATAAAAGCAGTGGTTTCAGTCAGTGAGGTTGGTCTGTGAGAATTGAGCCCAGGCCCTCTCTTTTTAAAGCTCCCCGGTTGGTTCTATTATGAGCCAGAGTACAGAACTGTTGTGTTGAAGGAAAATTACTACAACTTATTTCTTTCAAGTTATTACAAACTACATCAAATTAAAATGCTTTTTTCTTCTTTGATAAAGATAGCCATAGAAAAAGATGAGATTTCTAAAGACTAGCCACTACGGTCTGCATTTCAACATGTCAGCTCCTTAAATAGAATACAACTCGATTGTACTACTTAGGTAGTAATTTCTTTACATATTATTTATGTAATCATTTTACATTTTCCAAGCACAAATAAAAGAAAGCTAACATTTGAATTAGCTTTTGAAAGATACCTTTTTTATGGGGCAAACCTTGTAGAAATCAAGCTGAGGGAGAAAGACCATTCTCTTAAACTTTAACTCTAAGGTTCAGAGAGTGCTTTTTGTGTAATTGTATGTATATTTTACAGAGTGATTAAGGGAGTCTGAGGTGGCTTAGTTTATGCGTATTTTTTTTTTTACCTGAAAATTACTATCTCATTAAGGATGAGCTCCTATTTTATAATAACAAAAATCTATAAACGCAGTTTCCATGCTTAAGCCTCTTTTTAAAATTTTTAGTTTGTGCTGGCCCCCTTCCTTCCTTCAAATACGGCTGAGCTGAGGCATAGATAGAGATGCATAGCGCTCTCAGCCAGAGCAGACTGTATTTTCAAGAAAAAAGTTGTTAGGTTCAATTCCTAAAAAGGAGACAGCAGAACAACAAAAATGAGAAATGCTTAAATACGACTTACTACAGATGCTAATAATAAAGGATTGTTATAGAAGAGTACATATTTATTTTTCTCCCTTCAAATTTTTTTTCTTGTTAAATGGCTTTAGAAATTTTACTCCCATCAGTGTTTGGACAGAAAACTTTGCTCTGTAGGCTATACCCTGAAATTGGACTCACTCTGCCTCCAATGTGATGGCAAGATTTGAACTACTAGATGTAGATCCTACCTCTTCTATTAGTTTATTTATTCCTGTGCTATAAGGAATAAATGTTGGTGGTTTTCTTTTTTTAAACTAGGTAATTTCATCTGTGCCAAAACCTCCAGAAGACAAGCTGGAAGATGTGCATTCAAGTCGTCCATTAAAACAAAGAAGAAGAATATAGATTGCCAGCAGCAAATTATGTTTCCTGAGGGACTATTTATTATTTTTAGCCTGTCATTTTAATTCTTGAAGAGGTTGTACTGCTGGAATTTTCTAATGCATTCCTCTTTGTAATATCATTCAACCTACTTATTTAATAAAATTTCATCTTTTAAAATTAGTTTATCATGGACAAAATACATGCCAGCCAAATATATTCCTTAATAAAAGAAAACAACTTTTCCAGGAACTCCACCCAGTGATTCTGGTTACATCTTACTAGCTACAACTGGGCTCATGGCTGTTCCTAACTGGGGAGGTCTGGCATGGTAAATAAATGTTCAGGTTTTCTTTTTTCTTTTTTTTTTTTTTAGGTTTTCAACTTCTGTGGTTGAGGAAGCAAGAGAAAAGAGGGTTGTGAAAGGCTTATTCACAGGATTTGCCTTAAGATCCAAGCCTTGTTGGCTAACTTAAAAAGTAAAATTAGTTTATCATTACTTATAGGTGTTATTTTGATCATACTTAATATTACAGAAACTGTTCTTATTCTCACATTGCAGTAATTATGGGTAAATGAAGTGAAGCAAAGATAAAAACTTTACAATGCAAGTAAAGATAGGCAGTCAGGATCTGCTTCTGATTTTAATACAAGTATTGAGTAATTCACATTCAAAAACTAGAAGTCAGGATGTGTCTGAATGCCAGGGCTTCAAAATCAATACAATTCTGAAAAGTAAAAAAAGGTAAACTATTAGAACAAACTATTAGAAAATGCTAACCACTACCCTTAGCATACCCACATTGTTTTTCCTGTCAGGGAACCACATAATTGGAATTTGGAATAATTATGTTCACTCTTTCCCCACCCCCCCTTTTTTTTAAGTGATAAAAATAACTTGAGAAGGCCCATATCAAATGGTGGTCTGTTCTTTTTTCTCTATACCTTGCCTAATGAATTGATTTTGAATATACCAGTTAAGAAAGTTCATCAGTTATGACCTACTGATTGAAACTTGCTGGGATGGCTCCAAGTGGCAGATGGTATTAAAAGAAGTTTTAGGCAAGGGGTTTGGCCTTACTTCCTTGTAAGGTAATTAGAGATTTTTCTTTGCTGAATTCCCAGGTAAAAGACACATTAGAGACCCAAGCATAGAATTGGAAAGAGCAAGTTACTGTCTAGAACACACTTCTCAGATGTTAAGATATTATGAATCTTCACCTCAGGGTCTTACTAAAATGCAAATTATGATGGTAGTGGCCAGGAACTGGTGGGTTATAAGAATGCAGAATTGTTCACAGGTATAGAGTTTCAGTTTTACAAGATAAAAACAGAGTTCTGGAGATTGTACAACATAGTATACCTAACATTACTGAATTGTATGTTTATAATTGGTTAAGAGGGTAGTTTGTATTAGATCTATTTTATCACAATTAAAAATTCTAAGGGAGAATTTAAATTCTTTTTTAAAAAATTTAATTTATTTATTCACTAGAGACAGTGGCAGAGACACAGGCAGAGGGAGAAGCTGGCTCCATGCAGGGAGCCTCACGTGGGACTCGATCCCGGGTCTCCAGGATCACGCCCTGGACTGCAGGTGGCGCTAAACCGCCGAGCCACCCAGGCTGCCCCCAAGAATTTAAATTCTTAAAGGGAGGAGCTACTCAGTGAGTTCTGTATTATTGAATGGATTTCTGTTTTTTTCAGGATCTTTTCAGTGACTGGAGGCTAGCTCTCATGCCTCCCCATCCCCACCAACATGCACTATATTTGACCACAATGAGAGAAAGAAAAACCTTTGCTGTGTCAAGCATCAGAAGAAAGAGACAGAGAGAGAAAAGATTGAGTCATTTGGTTTGGAGTGTGCCCTGAGATTCTCCATTTCTCACAAGCAAGGCCCTTGATAGCTGGGCTACTGAATTCTGGAAGCAACTGTAGAACTGTTGGTGTTCCAACAGAACCCCCATTCTTCCTTTCATGCATTGCATTTTACTAAAAATTTACAGGCAGAATCAGAATGTGGGAATAAGCTACACTCAGACAAGTTAGAGAAACAAGCTGAGATAACTCAGGAGAGCTTAACATGTAAGTTCATGCACAAAATCGCCATCCAAACTATTACAGAGAATAAAAAGGTTCTGTAGGTTCGCAAAGCAGTTGATCAGTGGAAGAATTAAAATATTAATGTGTCAAATCAATAATTAGGCTGGCTCTTCTGGCTCAGAAAACTGGTCAAATTCATACATGAAAAACCATGAACATAGATACTATAAAGTACTTCAAATGTGTCCAAGGTTTTTGAAAATTATTCTCATTGTTTGACAACATTTGGGTTGAAAGAGAACAAGTTTTGTCCTAGCATTTTATGGTTGGTACCTGCTGAGTATACTGTTCAGTGTTCTATTCCTTAAGCAAGCCAATATGTCCTAGTTTTCCTTGGGAAAATAACATTAACATGCAATAAATCAGGAATTGTGTATGGCTAAAGAAGTTACAAGCTCAAAAAGTCTATTGAATATAATAAACAGTCACTATCGTTGAGCCCCAAAACATGAGGATGGAGCTGAGACCCTTGTGGTTGTCTGAATGTCAGCATTGGGCCAAAGCCCCTGCAGAGGTGAGTTGTCCAGCAAGTATTACTTACTGTTTCCTTAAAATGTTCCCTTAACCAATTTGAGCTGTTGGCACTCTACCTTTGCTTCTGGTAAACATGGTCCAAACACTTCCAACAAAAGTTTATCTTCTTTTACTGCTTTTTCAAAGTCTGCAAAAGATATCTTGCCATCATTGTCATAATCCTAGAGAGGAAGATGATATCTTGATAAATGATTAAATGATAAATGGTTTTAATTTTGCCTGGAAAACTTTGCCAATTACACTTCAGTGGGCCCTACTTCATAAATCAAAAAGTACTTATTTATCAGGGCTACTTGATACCTGTAATTCTATTTGGAATACCTGGTATTATGGGCTGAATGTGTCCCTCCTGCCATCAAATTCACATCTTAAAGCCCCCAGTATGATGATTTTGGAAGTGGGGTCTTTGGGAGGCAATTAGATTTAGCTGTCTTGAAGGTGGAGCCCCTGTGACGTAACTGTCCTTATACGTGGAGCAAGACCAGAGTCCTTTCTGCCATGTGAGGACACACTGAAGTGGTGACTGTCTGCAAGCCAAGAAGAGAACCCTCACCATGGAAGAGAATTGACGGGCACCTTATCTTGGACATTCCAGTTGCAAGATTTTTATTTTTTTTTTAAAGCAATCTCTAGGGATGCCGGGGTGGCTCAGTGGTTTAGCACCTGCCTTCGGCCCAGGGTATGATAAAATAAAATATTTAAAACAATCTCTACACCCAATGTGGAGTTTGAGCTTAAAACTTTGAGATCAAGATTTGCATGTTCTACCAACTGAGCTAGCCAGATAGATGCCCCCCCCCGCCCCCAGTCTCAGGAATTTGAGAGATAAATTCCTGTTTTAAGTCACCCAGTCTGGTATTTTCTTATAGCCATCCAAGCAAACTAAGACACGCAGTCCATAATATTTCCTTTCCAAAAAGAAGGGAGTGGGTTTAGTCCTGGGAAATACTCTCTCTCAAGAAGTTGACCTTCAGCCCTGAGCAGCAGCTAGTGAGTATTTTTTTAAATAGGTTTTTTTTTTTTAAGATTTTATTTATTTATGAGAGACACAAAAAGACAGGCAGAGACATAGCAAGAGGGAGGAGAAGTAGGCTCCATGCAAAAAGAGCCCGGTGTGGGACTCGATCCCTGGAGTCAGATCACACCCTGAGCCAAAGGCGGACGCTCAACTGCTGAGCCACTCAGGTGTCCCTAGTGAGTATTTTTAATGGAAGAAGATACCCTGGAGTTTGTGTTAGCTAAATGTGAGACTCAGCAGCCCCCATCACCTATTTCCTTCCTGATCTGCAGAGTAATGGAGGTAAGCAGAGTCCAGGCTGCCTTAGAGTCATTAATTTTCACTGATATCCAGGATAGGGTCATAGCAAGAAAAGGAAAATCCTTATGTCCATTAGAAAGTGGTACTATTGGTTTCATTGAAAGAATTATGCACCCCATTTTCTAGTGTGCCTTGGGTAAAACTACTTAGCTTTCTCATCTATAAAATAAAGATAGTAATTTCTACAACATGGGGTTGTTGTGAGATTAAAATGAGTTCATATATTAATGTTCTGTGAAGGGCCTGGCATATAGTAAGTACTCTATAAGGGACAACTATTTTAATTATTGTTATTTTGTTATAATGGTGTTTAGATGGGTTGGAGGGGTAGGGTCATGAAGACAGATTAGAGTAGCATCCAATTTTAGAAGCATTTGCTGCACTGCCACCCACACATTAGTGAGGTTTTACTGATAGTAAAATAATTTAAACTAGTTAACATTCATTTTGTGCAGTGATTCATTTAATCACCCAGTCATATCATAAGTATTCATTGAGCATCCACTATCAGCTAGGCACTGTTCTAGGCAATGAATAGAGCAGAGAACAAAAAATTTCCTGCCCTCATAAAGGTAACTATAATTATAGAGTGAGGGCAGCCCAGGTGGCTCAGCGGTTTAGCGCCTCCTTCGGCCCAGGGCGTGATCCTGGAGTCCCAGGATCGAGTCCCATGTCGGGCTCCCTGCATGGATCCTGCTTCTCCCTCTGCCTGTGTCTCTGCCTCTCTCTTTCTCTTTCTCTCTCTCTCTCTGTCTCTCATGAATAAATAAAATCTTTAAAAAAATTATAGAGTGAAATAAATAATTTATGTGTCCTTAGCTTTCTCCAACATCTGCTTGATTGAATAATAATAAGTTCTAGGTTTTCATTTGTACCATTTTCTTCAGTGTTATATCTACCAACTCTTTTATTCCTTCATCAGTCTCTTCCTCAGATGACTGTTGGTGCAGACTGTTCTTCAACATGTCAAATATCTCTTCTTGAGAAATGTAACCATCACCGTTCAAATAGTAAACTTCAAAACAAACTGTCCAAAGCACAAGAAATTTAAAGACTTGGGTAAGAACAGTTAAAATATCACTAGTCTTCTCCTTAGTTATTTCAATACCTAGTTTTTAAAAAGATAAAAACAACTTCTACAACCTACAATTATCGGTCCATATGATAGATTTTAAAATAAAGTACTCTTTATTTTACTTCCTTCCACAAGATTAAATATCCCTTGGGATGTGGATTTTGAAATTGAGAGTTTGAAAATATTATGAAACTTGAAACCATGAAAATCCCAGAAAAGAATATAGGAACAAGGCTCCTTGACATGGGTCTTGGTAATGATTTCATGGCTCTAACACCAAAAGCACAAGCAACAAAATAAAAAACAAGCGGAACTAAAAAAAAAAAAAAAAAAAAAAAAGACACACACAAAAAAAAAACAAATGTGAATACATCAAACTAAAAAGTTTATGTACAGAAAAGGAAACCATCAACAAATGAAAAGACAGCCTATGGAATGGGAAAAAATACTTGCAAATCAGATAAGGTGTTAATATCCAAAAGATATAAAGAACTCCTACAACTCAATAGCAAAACAAACAAAACCAACCCACTTTAAAAATAGGCAAAGGACTGGAAATAAATATATTACATTATCTTAGTTGGTGACTTCTTATTTCTGGAATACTTTGAAATCAAGGAGTTTAATTTAGGTACTTGAAACTATAAACAAATAATACCTTCTGTATTCAAAGAGATACCATCAATTCCAACTTGTAAATATTTTTTTTAATTTTTTTATTTATTTATGATAGTCACAGAGAGAGAAAGAGAGAGAGGCAGAGACACAGGCAGAGGGAGAAGCAGGCTCCATGCACCGGGAGCCCGACGTGGGACCCGATCCGGGGTCTCCAGGATCGCGCCCTGGGCCAAAGGCAGGCGCCGAACCGCTGCGCCACCCAGGGATCCCCCAACTTATAAATATTAATAGTCTTTTTCCTCTTCTCTGTCCCCACTGTTATTTCCTAGATAGCTTCAACAATCTCCTAAGAAACTCCCCTGCCTCTATCTAATTTTTCGTTATTTATTATAGTTGATTCACAGCTATCCTCTAGAGAGTGTTGGGGAGAGGAAACTGATGTCTTTTCCTTAGTAAGATTCAACCTTAATGATATATACATTCAACTTACCTTATTAGCCTCATGTCTCGACATCAATTTTTCCCAACTCAACATACTCAGTTAGACGTCCATGCCTTTATTCATACCGTTCCTAATACCTAGCATGGTCTTCTTTCTAGTTTCTTTCTGCTCAAGATTTACCAAGAACCAAAAGCTAGTTATTCTTTGAAAATGTCTTCTGATCCACCGGATGCCACTGGAAAGAACTTTCTCAACACTCCCATGTAGTATTTTGAAAATACATAGATTTCTAAGTAATCATATTATATTGTGGTTATTAGTTTATATGTATTATGTGACCCAGAACTGAGCATCTCCTGTTGTAGAATGACTTCTTGGATCACAAATAAAAGAAGACTTTTATAGACTTCAAAAAAGTGTGATGAAACTACAATAAAGGAGATATATAAAAATATTTTTTAAGTAAACTCTGCATCTGATGTGGGATTCAAACTCACAACCCAAAGATCGAGTTGCATGCTTTACTGACTAAGCCAGCCAGGCACCTCTGAAGATAAATATTTAAACTTATGGTCATTCAATACATATACACACGTGTACACATACATGCATGTGTGTGTGTACCTCAATATTATGATTCTCTTCTTACATAGAGTACAAAAACTAAGTATAAACTTCATCACATCACTGACAACATTTTTCAATATATTTGGGTAGTGAGTTTGTCATTCCCTGAGAGCCTGCCTATCTGCACTATCCAAAATGATCTCTCTCTCCCTGGAGAGTGTCTTCCATGACTTCCATCCATTCATTCATGCCACAGATGACCCTACTCAGGTACCAAAAATACAGTAGAGCAGGAGCTCTTCCAAACTTTGTATTCTAGTTAAATGTTTTTGCAAAAGAGTAGAACCAGGTATAAAATTCCAGATGATCAGATCAGCTGTGTCTTTTTGTTGAGTCTCTTCAATCCAGAGCATACATAAAGCACAACCTTGAGAAGTAGTATTTTTCCCAAGTTAACATATCCTGAAATGTCTATGAGACCTTTTTAGAAAGAGGGATTAGAGAAGGAAAATTCTTTGATAGTGTGATGCTATTTAATCATGTATTGCCACAACGATTTACATCCACCAAAAACTTAGCAATTTATGCAAATTCCAACACTAGTGTATTGGTGTCTGATGGTTAATGTGTGTTTCATCTTGTTTTGCGTCAATCACTCCCAGTTATTTTCTTTGATTAAGAGACAGGAATGGCCTCACTGTGACTTATGCACTGGCCTGTATCAAGGCCTATTTTCAGCGGAGCCCAGAGGCAGCCACAAAATCATGGCCTTGCTGGCTGATTGCAGTTGGGCTCAAGCCCTGACCATAACTTGCTGGTCTTCACCTGGGCCTTAAGCCAACGAGTGGTCATGGTGACATTTAGGCATTGCAGAACCAGTGAAGAAAATGTTTGAGGACCCTGGGTCTAGGGACTCTCCCATGAAACAGGCCACCCATTTCATGTTGTGATGTTTTTATAAAGCTGTCATGAACTATTTTTGAAAGGTTGCTGTAGAGAACATGGATTTTATATTTTTTAAAAATGTTTAAGCATTCACTAAATACAAAATTGACAATGCATATTACTGTCAGTAATAACATGTAGAAGAAATCTTACACTTAAGCTTTTCTTCAAAAGTCCCTCGAAGAAACACCGATAATCCTTTAACCCACTCTTTGGCATTTATGCAGTTATCATTGTCTTTGTCAAATGCAAAAAATACTGAAAGAAAAATATCATAGAAGCATATTGTAGGGCAACGCCGGTGGCGCAGCGGTTTAGCACCGCCTGCAGCCCAGGGAGTGATCCTGGAGACCCGGGATCGAGTCCCACATCTGGCTCCTTGCATGGAGCCTGCTTCTCCCTCTGCCTGTGTCTCTGCCTCTCTCTCTCTAGCTGTGTCTCTATGAATAAATAAATAAAATCTTTAAAAAAAAAGCATATTGTAATTTACAACTATTTTATTTTAATATTTTATTTATTTATTTATTTATTTAAAGAGAGAGCACATGCATGCATGAGTGGGTTGGGGGAGAGGCAGAGGGAGAAGCTGATTCCCCGTTGAGCAGGGAGCCTGATGCGGGGCCCCATCAGGAGACCCTGAGAGATCATGAGGTCAGCTGAAGGCAGATGCTTATTTGACTGAGCCACCCAGACACCACACAGCTATTTTATAATTCAGAAGTATGTATATATCAAAAGATTTTCAAAACCTTCCTCAAAACAACAACAAAAACACACTGAAAACCTTTCCTCCCAAATTGAGAGGAAAAAAGGGTTTTGGCACAGTCTTTCTTACAAGAGTCAAAATTACTAGAAATATGTTTCCCACAGATTTTTATAGAAAAAAAGTAATAATTCTCCTCCAGGATCAATGATGAACTTCACTTGTGATATTTTGTACAGTTACTATGAGCCAAGAAGAGCAACATGGAGCTAATCAAGTGATGGTAATTTATACTAAAAAGAGTGGCAGGGGTTCCTGGGTGGCTCAGTCTGTTGAGTAGCCAACTCTTAATTTTGGCTCAAGTCATGGTCTCAGGTCCTGGGATCCAGCCCTGCATTGGATCTCTGCTCAGTGGGGAGTTTGCTTGAGATTCTCTCTCCCTCTCCTGCTGTCCCTCCCCCTACTCACACTCTGTCTCTAAAATAAATCGTTTAAATAAATAAAAATAAAAAGAGTGGCAAAGGGGGCACCTGGCTAGCTCAGTTGGTAGAGCATGTGGCTTTTGATCTTGAGGGGGTCATGAGTTCAAACTCCATGTTAAATTTAGAGATTAAGAAATAGTAATAATAGTGATGCCTGGGTGAGCATCTGCCTTCGGCTCAGGGCGTGATCCTCGGATTCGGGATTGAGTCCCACTTCGGGCTCCTTGCAGGGAGCCTGCTTCTCCCTCTGCCTATGTCTCTGCCTTTCTCTGTGTCTCTCATGAATAAATAAAATCTTTGAAATAAGTTTATTAAATTAAATTTAAACAATAAAATAGTAATAATATAAATAAAATGCATTTTAAAAGAGTGGCAAAATTCTGTTCTAAACAGTATGTATAGGGCAGCCCCGGTGGTGCAGCGGTTTGGCGCCGCCTGCAGCCTGGGCTGTGATCCTGGAGACCGGGGATCGAGTCCCACATTGGGCTCCCTGCATAGAGCCTGCTTCTCCCTCTGTCTGTGTCTCTGCCCCTCTCTCTGTGCCTATGAATAAATAAATAAATAATCTTAAAAAAAACAGTATGTATAATACCTAAAGATAATTTACTAAAATAACATTATTTTTAAAATTACCAATGAAATCTTAGTATTATTATATAGAAGATAAAATGTTACTGACTCTTTTAGGGGTAATGTTAATTATTATTTTTTTTAAATTTTTTTAACTTTTATTTATTCATGATAGTCACACACACAGAGAGAGAGAGAGGGGCAGAGAGAGAAGCAGGCTCCATGCACCGGGAAACCGACGTGGGATTCGATCCCGGGTCTCCAGGATCGCGCCCCGGGCCAAAGGCAGGTGCCAAACCGCTGCGCCACCCAGGGATCCCCCAATGTTAATTATTTTTATTATGATTATGGTTTCAAGGTATATACCTATGTCAAAACATCAAATTGAACACTAAAAATTTGTTAGTGAAACTGGATCACATTAAATAATTTCCTATTTTATTTTTTTAAAGATTTTATTTATTTATTCATGAGAGACACAGAGAGAGAGGCAGAGACACAGGCAGAGGGAGAAGCAGGCTCCTCTCAGGGAGCCCAAGCAGGACTCAATCCCAGGACCCTGGGACCACGACCCGAGCCAAAGGCCCCACCACTGGGCCATCCAGGTGCCCCTAATTTCCTATTTTAAATATAAGATCCTCTACTTTTTTCAGTTTAATGAGTAATTACCATTTTTGGTACTAATACAGTATTTTTATGAAGAAAGAGAAGTCATTTAGTAGTTTACATGTCTACAGCATATGAATCCAAAGACTTCATGAGTAAAAAGTCATATGCTTAACTTAAAAAAAAAAAAAAACCAATACTGGCAACTTACTTACTGGTTATAACTCAAAATGGTGCAGCTATGAGATAAAACATTCTGAGTGAGTTTTGATTAAAAACCATCCTCACGGGATGCCTGGGTGGCTCAGCATCCCTCACGGGATGTTGGGTGTCTGCCTTTGACTCGGGGCATGATCCTGGGGTCCGAGATTGGGTCCCACAATGGGCTCCTGTGGGAAGCCTGCTTCTCCCTTTGCCTGTGTCTCTGCCTCTCTCTCTCTCTCTCTCTCATAAAAAGATAAATAAAATCTTTTTAAAAAATCCTCACAATCAGATCAACTTTTATTTTATATTGGCAGCCTTATCAGATTTAAGTCCATCTAGTTTGGCATGGAAAAACTCAAGGGGGATCCCTGGGTGGCTCAGCGGTTTGGCGCCTGCCTTCGGCTCAGGGCGTGATCCTGGAGTCCCGCGTTGGGCTCCTTGCATGGAACCTATTTCTCTCTCTGCCTCTCTCTGTCTATCATGAATAAATGAATAAAATCTTAAAAAAAAAAGAGAGAGAAACTCAAGGGGCACCTAGGTGGCTCAGTTGGTTGAACATCTAACTCAACTTTTGGCTCAGGACATGATCTGGGGGGTGTGGGATCAGCTCCCCAGCCCCCAGAGGAACTCTGTGCTCAGGAATGGGTTCCTGCTCAGCTCAGAGTCCACTTGTCCCCCTCCCTGCCCTCTGCCCCTCCCTCAACTTGCACCAAATAAATAAACTTTTAAAAAATTCAAAGTCTTTGATGACAACTGAACACACATACATATACAAAAATTTGCCATATATAATTTTGTCATTACAAATAGATATTTGCCACATATTAATATGTACACCATATATATATTGCCATCTAGCTTGGTCCATTTCAATTTCTTAAGACTCTTACCCCTGTTCATTAGCATATCATCAGTCATTCCAAATACGCTGTGCAGGATCGCTCGAAATGCATTACGATCTAGTCCAAAGTTATTAAGTCTTACATTAGCTCTTTCCACCAAGCTGTGAAAAAGTCTTATGAGACACTCTACTTCACTTTTTTTGACTGTAAAATAAAAATACAAACATATACAGCTTAGACTTAGTGAGTACTCCAATCTAATAAAAAATATTTTACTCAGCAGCTATTTTGTTCCTATGGTGCTAGATGCCCTAGCAATGAAAAAGTATGACATGACTTGTTACTTAATGGCTTACACAATTAAAACAGGCATCACCCAGAAGTTTCATAAGATAGCATGTAAATGGAAAATCATGTAACATAACAGTCACCACTATAGACATGTAAAGAAAGAGAAATCAGTGTGGGAAAGAGGAGTTGGGTCACTATCATGGGAGCAGACTTTTAACAGAGATTTGAAGGACGCATATTATTTATGCAGGAAGAAATGTGTTGGAGGTAGTAAAATAGAGAATTCCAGTGAGAGAAAACGTGGGTAAAGGGAAGAAGTGAATTGTGGTTGGGTTTGGACATGCTCTATTGGGAGCACAACAACTGGAGAAATGAAACAAGATTGAAGAGAATGAGCTAATGGCAGAGAAAATTATCATTTATAGTTGACTTTAACCACATAGAATTGAACTGCAGATCCACTTAAAGATGATTTAAAAAACATAGTGCAGGACTGTAAATGTATTTTCTCTTATGATTTTCTTTATTTTGGGGAAAGGGGGGGAGTGTGGAGAGGGAGAGGGAGAGAATCTTTAACAGGCTTCACCCCCAGAGCAGTGCCGGATATCACAACCTGAGCTAAAAGCAAGAGTTGGAGGCTGAACAGATTGAGCCACCCAAGTGCCCCATTCTCTTATTATTTTCTTCTTAATAATAGTATTTTTTAAATTGTATTTATTTATTCATGAGACACAGAGAGAGAGAGAGGCAGAGGGAGAAGTAGGCTCCCCATGAAGCAGAGAGCCTAATGTGGGATTCGATCCCAGGAACCCAGGAATACGACCTGAGCTGAAGGCAGATGCTTAATGATCTGAGCCACGCAGGCATCCCTCTCTTATGATTTCCTTAATAATCTTTTCTTTCTTTTTTTAATTTATGATAGTCAGAGAGAGAGAGAGAGAGAGAGAGAGAGAGAGAGAGAGAGGCAGAGACATAGGCAGAGGGAGAAGCAGGTTCCATGCACCGGGAGCCCGACGTGGGATTCGATCCCGGATCTCCAGGATCGCGCCCTGGGCCAAAGGCAGGCGCCAAACCGCTGCGCCACCCAGGGATCCCTCTTTTCTTTTCTTTAACTTACTTTAAGATTACAGTATATAATACATAAAATGTATGAAATATGGTAATTGATTTTATAATTAAGGTCAGTAGTAGGCTATTGGCAGTAAAGGTTTTAAAAGCTCAAACATGGATTTTCAACTGTGTGGGGGTTGGTGCTTGTATCCTACAGGTCTTTCGAGGGTCAGCTGCATTTTACTGAAGCAGTGTTTCTCACGGACCACTTCTGGACCATCTCTATGAGAGAATCAATCCCCTCTTCATTGTTTAATCCAGATTCCCATGTCTTGCCCCAGACCTACCAAGTCAAAATCGCTAACATCAGGCTCAGGAATTAGCTTTTAAACAAGAGCTCTGTTGATTCTTCTAGGCCCTATGGATTGAGAAGTGGTTAGGAAAATTCATCTGGCAAAATTACATTGAAGGGGAAAACTGGAAGCATAGAAGCCAGGCTTGGAGTGATAGGGCTTTGGTTAGGGAGGTGGAGATGAGGTCAGAAAGTGGAAAGGGACTTGGGATGTTAGAGAAAATCAGGACTTGGAGACTAATTTTCTAACAGAAATTTCCAATATTCTTACACCTGAATTTCACTCTAGATTTAGGAAAAGGGTATTTTGAAAGAAGTGAATGGGTGATTCTTTTTTTTTTTTTTTTTTTGAATGGGTGATTCTAATGCATTGTCAGGACCGAGAATTAAGGGATTAGATTTAGGGGGCTGGGGTACTGAAGTGCCAGATTCCACTTCTGTTTCTAAATTACAACAGCAGACTTAGATGAGTCATAAAGCTTCCTTGTGGCTCAGAGTCCTCACCTATGAAAACTGGGTATTGTCCTAGATGATCTTTGAGATTCCTTCAGTTTCTAAAAGCCCATTTCTATGAATCATAGATTATTTGAAAGAACCAGAAGAGTTAGGAAGGAAACCTGGTTACTATTTTTTTCTCTTCCACCCCTTCCCCCGTGTTTTCTTTTTATAAGGAAAGTAGGGAGAAATATTTTAGATGCTATCTTTGAGATGATTTTAACTCACCCAGTTGAAATCAATGATAACACATAGCACATACACAGTTTACAACATTAGGGTTTCTACAATGGTCAGAATGATTTGGTTCTTAGGGGAATGGTTGATAAATCTGAAGAATAAGCAATTACAAAGGTACCTACTAATACTGTTTTATGAACTAAATTAGATTTCCAGGCTCCACAATATATAAGCCCTGAAATACAACATAAAGATCATTTTTATCCATCCAAAAAGCATTTATTAAGAGCCTCCTGTGAACCAGGCAATGAATACACCATGCTTCCTGCCCACAAAGTTGTTATACTTTGGCTAAGATATTTAAAAAAAAAAGGGGGGGGGATGCCTGGGTGGCTCAGAGGTTAGCCTGATCCTGGAGTCCTGGGATTGGGTCCCACATTGGACTCCCTGTGTGGAGCCTGCTTCTCTCTCTGCCTATGTCTCTGCCTCTCTCTCTGTGTCTCTCATGAATAAATAAATAAAATCTTAAAAAAAAAAGTGCCACAAGGTATTACAAGCACTATGATTGATGGTGTTTGGCCATGACCCAAAGAAAGGAATAATCAACTGGGGAGGGAGTAGGAAATTAAGAAAGGTCCCGAGGTGTCACTTGAGCTAAGACCTGCCAAAGGTAAGCATTTGCCAGAGGAGGCAGCTTTGAGGTATGTTCCGAATTAGCTGCAAATGGTTTGGTGTAGCTAGGTGGCAGATTTGACTTTATGGAGAATGAGGAGTTTCTGAAACATTTTGGCTGGCAAGTTAATAGGATCATATTTGCACTTAACAGAGATCACTTTGGCAGTACATTGTTGAAATTACCTTGTGGGACACCTGGGTGGCTCAGCGGTTGAGCGTTTGCCTTTGACTCAGGACATGATCCCAGAGTCCCGGGATTGAGTCCCACATTGGGATTCCTGCATGGAGCCTGCTTCTCCCTCTGCCTGTTTCTCTGCCTCTCTCTCTCTGAGTATCTCATGAATAAACAAAATCTTAAAAAAACAAAACAAAACAAAACTACCTTGGGAATGGGTGAGTCCAGATATGACAACACTGTCTTCCCAATCCATCCCCTATGCTCTTTGTACAATGACTTTGATATTCCTTTTTTTTTTAAAGATTTTATTTATTTATTCATGAAAGATGCAGAGAGAGAGAGGCAGAGTCACAGGCATTGGGAGAAGCAGGCTCCATACAGGGGAGCCCGGCATGAGACTCGATCCCGGGCCTTCAGGATCACGCCCTGGGCCGAAGGCAGGTGCTAAACCGCTGAACCACCCAGGGATTCCTGACTTTGATATTTCTGAGAGATGGGGGTCTCTCCTTTACTTGAAACTAGGAAGGGGTAGGGTGTGTGTGTGTGTGTGTGTGTGTGTGTGTGTGTGTGTGTGTATGACTGTTTCAACCAGTAGAGCTCAGTGGAAATGAAGCAATATGACTTCAAGGCTAGATCACATAAGGGGATGCAGCAGCTCCGAGGACAAAAACTTGTAGTGTTCTCCTTCTTTTCTTTGGAATACGAAGAACAAAGCAGCTCAGGTGTGGATGCAATATAAGGAGTGCAGAGTATGTTAATGATGGCCTGAAAGTAGTCCTGCTCAATTCTGAGGGAGAGAATTATCATCGGAGTGGAAATGTTAGCACCAACAATGTGAAAATGGATCCCTGAGGAAAGGGATGTTTTAAGAGTCAGGAGCTAAAAAAAAAAAAAAAAAAAAAAAAAAAAACAGTCAGGAGCTGCTCTGAGTCAAATATTAACAAGTCATTCAAGACAGCTAGTAAGGGGATCCCTGGGTGGCACAGCGGTTTGGCGCCTGCCTTTGGCCCAGGGCGCGATCCTGGAGACCGGATCGAATCCCACATCGGGCTCCCGGTGCATGGAGCCTGCTTCTCCCTCTGCCTAAGTCTCTGCCTCTCTCTCTCTCTCTGTGTGACTATCATAAATAAATAAATAAATAAAAAAAAGACAGCTAGTAAGGATTTTAGGCACAATCTTCAGCAGGTAATAACTTTTTCTGAGTTTTATCCATGTAAGCTCACATTTCATTATATCTCAAGACCTCACTCATGAGGTCAAGGAACCATTATTAATGATATTTGGGAGATCATAGGTAATGAGAATGGTGAGGTACTAGAGATTGGCCCGTGTTGCTTATTTTGGAATAATTTTAGATTTACATAAGAGAAGCAAAGATGAGAGTTTGCATAAAATCTTCACTGTCTTTCCTTGTTAACACCTTACAGAACGATGGTACATTTGTCAAAACAAATACGCTAACATTGGCACATTATTATTAAACTATAGATTTTACCACTTTTCCCACAAATGTCCTTTATTGGCAGGTTCCAGAATCCAAGCCGCGATATGCTTGGTTGTCATGTCTCTTCCAATTTGTGAGTTTTCAGTCTTTCGTGACCTTGAGTTTTTATTTTGCATAATGTTCCTCAGTTGTTTGCCTAAGTTTTTCTCACGATTAGACTGTAGCTAGGGGTTTTGGGGAAGGATACTAGAGATAGGTTGCTGTTCTTCTCACATGTCAGGGGATACATATTAGCAAGGTTAACTGTTGATAACTTTGATCACTTGGTTAAGCTAGTCTACAGGATTCTCCACTCTAGTTACCGTTTTCCCTTTCCACAATCTATTCTTTAGAAGCCAGCTGCTCAAGTGAAATGAATTCCACTTCTTGGGAAGGAGTATCTATATTATTGTTTGGAGTTCCTTCTCCTGAAAGGAAGAGGTCTTTCCTCACTTACTCAATTATTTATGTCAGTATGGGGGGGTGTGTGTGTGTCACATATACTCATTTTATAATAATTGTTAATTTTCTTGCTCAAATTGTTCATTTTGGACACTGGGAACTTTTGAATGGTTTCTTGTATGTTTCACATAGCATAATCCATTGGCTTTTTCATCTCTTTGGTGAAATTAGTTGGACCTCCAATTTATAGTCACTCAGAAATGAAGGTAACAACTTAGACTTGTGATGGGCATCTGAAGTAGGAGAGTCTTGTGGAACTGAACCTATGGGATCTGATGCCATCTCAGGGACTGTCAGGATTAAGAAATTGCTGGAATGTCACAGAAAATTGCTTGCTGGGGAAAAAAACCATACGGTTGGGAGACCAGAAGTGTAGGTGTGGTAGTAATGTCAGAGTAAAAAAGAGGTGTAGTGTAGTTTTTCCTTTACACTCTGTGCAGCTATTTCTTCAAGGAATCCTCATTCTTTTTATTGGAGATTGATATTTAGACACCAAGGTCTAGGCACTGGGTGTGCTTGTTATTACTGGGGTATTAATATTTCTAAGCCCAATATATAATGAGGGGGGCAGAATATTTCTAAGCCCTCTCAGCAAACATTGCTAGAAAATATGTCTGTATACTAACCTACGTATGCATACATACTGGCACATGTTATGTCTCACAAATAAAGTGAAAGGCAAATACTGGACTACTGGATTTATAGGTGGTCCTGGGCTAAGTCCCAGAAGAGATAATCAATTGTATTAGAAATTCATGAACACTCAGGGGCTCATGAATTCATAAGGATAAATCATACTAGATTTAACTTATTTCCTCCTTTTGGTAGGACCACTCCTACTGAATCAGAGAAATGCAGATTACAAAGTATTTGGATTTTAGCAAGGCATACGACAAAAATTTCTTATTCTTACATGAATTATCTACTCAGTATCCAGTAGTGCCAAGCACAAGTGTAGGCTTTCAAATGAATGTTTGCTAAATAAATGATGGCCCTTTATAAATAGGAGAGGTAAAGGAATATACTGGATGAGTCAGAATCCAAAGTAACATCTTGATGCCAAAATAATCACTTGAATCAAACAATATGAAATTATTGGGAAGTTTTAAAGTTCTTCACTTAGCTTTAAAAAACTTTTATTCTATGTTAAGTGTAAAAAAATGTGGCTAAACAACATATGTGTGAAGACTGGGTCAATTCCTAACTCACCATCAGTCAAGCTGGGATTGCTATTAGGCTTACAGAACTGAAGTTTCATGAAACTAAGAATGTAATATGTGTTGGCTAATTGAATTTTAAATTTTTTTTTTCTTTTTTTTTTTTTAATTTTTATTTATTTATGATAGTCACAGAGAGAGAGAGAGGCAGAGACACAGGCAGAGGGAGAAGCAGGCTCCATGCACCGGAAGCCCGATGTGGGATTCGATCCCGGGCCTCCAGGATCGTGCCCTGGGCCAGAGGCAGGCGCCAAACCGCTGCGCCGCCCAGGGATCCCTGAATTTTAAATTAAAAAATAAATTCTAAGGGAAGACATCACCATGTAGTTAGCAATAGTATTCAAGATCCTTTTTTTTAAATGATTATTATTTTTTTAATTTTTTAAAAATTTATTTATGATAGTCACAGAGAGAGAGAGAGAGAGGCAGAGAGAGAAGCAGGCTCCATGCACCGGGAGCCCGATGTGGGATTCGATCCCGGGTCTCCAGGATCACGCCCTGGGCCAAAGGCAGGCGCCAAACTGCTGCGCCACCCAGGGATCCCCAGTATTCAAGATCCTAAAGAAAAAAGTACAATTTCCCTGGGCTTAAAGCACTAGGAAAGGCAGTAGACAGTTGAAACTCCTGTATATTGTTTCTGAATGAGTTTTGAAGGCTCAAGAGAAAAAAAACCACCAGTGTGAGAAATAAAACCAAGACAATAAATTAGCTAGGTTTCAAATTCCAGAGACCCACGAAAGCAAAGATTTAATTAAATACAAATACACACAAAACCAGATTGCCAAGGATGTGTGAATATGCAACTTAATGTATAAATTTAGAACAATAGAAAATTGAACCCATAAGTATAAAAACAAAAAGAAATGAAGTTTCACTTGGAAAAGACAATTTTGATTAGGAATTCTTAAACTTAAAAAAAAACTTAAAAAAAAAGGAATTCTTAAACTTCAGTGTGTCTTAAGAATACATGGAGTGAATGATCTGGATGCTTGGCCCCACTTGCTGATTTTTAAAATGTACTTGGGGTGGTACCCAGGAATCTACATTTTCAATATGAATCTTTGGGTGATTCTAATGGTGGAGATATTCCCACCATACTATGAGTAAGAGGTACAGAGCCAAGATCAACTACAGAATTTGTGGGCCCAAAGCAAACATGGGTCCTTCACTCACATTGTCAGTGTTGACACAGCATTAAACTAAGCATGGGGCCCTGTGACAATCCATAGGTTGCAACCCATGATTAATTATGCCCTGAGGTAATGATCCTCCACCCCCACTAGATTAAACGTTTTAAAAATTCTAGTTAATTTTTACATTTATTTATTTAAAAAGATTTGAGAGAGAGAGAGATAGCAAGAGAGAGCATAAGCAGGGGGCAGAGAGGGAGAAGCAGGCTCCCTGGGAGCAGGGAGCCCAATGTGGGTCTCGATTAGATCCCAGAACCCTGAGATCATGACCAGAACCACAGGCAGGCACTTAACCAACTGAGCCACCCAGGTGCCCCCCTCTTTTAAAATAATTTTAATTTACATTTAAATAGGGATCCCTCGGTTTGGCGCCTGCCTTTGGCCCAGGGCGCTATCCTGGAGACCCGGGGTCGAATCCCACATCGGCTCCCGGTGCATGGAGTCTGCTTCTCCCTCTGCCTATGTCTCTGCCTCTCTCTCTCTCTGTGACTATCATAAAAAAAAACAAAACAAACAAAAACAACAAAAAACATTTAAATAGCCACACACATACTTTAAAAAATGGGGCACCTGGCTGGTTGGTTAGACCAATGACTCTTCATGTCAGGGCCATGAGTTCAATCATCTGGGTGTAGAAATTACCTAAATTAAAAAAAAAAAAAAGCCACACATAGCTAGTGGTTACTATACTGGGCAATGCAGCTCCAGCTCCATATTTTATTCCAGCCAGCTGCCTCAAGACAGTCCCTTCCTGAGAAAAGGAGGCCAACACAGCACTCATTGTTAACCTTCCCCATGCCTATGAAAAACCAAATTCCAGGACTTGGCTGGCTCAGCTTGGTAAAGCATTTGACTCTTGATCTCGGGGTTGTGAATTCAAGCCCCATGTTAGGTGTAGAAATTACTTAAAAATCTTAAAACAACAAAAAAAGAACAACAACAAAAAAGTCATGAGAGGCCAATGTCTACCCTTGTCTCAACTGAAGGACCCAAGAACTGAGCCAAATTCAACTTTTTTTTTTTAAGATTTTATTTATTTATTCATGAGAGACACACAGAGAGGGAGAGGCAGAGACACAGGCAGAGAGAGAAGCAGGCTCCATTCAAGGAGCCCGACGTGGGACTCGATCCCGGGTCTCCAGGATCACACCCAGGATCCAGCACTAAACCGCTGCGCCACCAGGGCTGCCCCAAATTCAACTTTCATTCTGTACTTACTATGGCACAGTTGTATACATACATACATAAAAGTTGTATACATACAAAATGACCATAAGACTCTATAATTTGAGAAATAAAGATTGAGTGCAGGCTCTGGCATCACCTGTTCTAGTCCTGCCCCCACCAGAAAAGTCCACTGAAATTTTAGACAATCTAAGACTTGGGTTTCCTCATTTGAAAACATGGAAAATATCACCTACCTCACTGGGCTTGTTCTGAGAATTGAAGATGAACACAAACCATTTAGCACAGCAACTTCCCAATGAAGAGCCCAATAAACAGGAGTTGTTAGTAATCGGCGTGTAAAACAGTAATCTGGTTACACTGGTGAATAGCTATAGCCTGAACTTTTGTTTCTAACTTAGCATCAAAGCTTTGGAAAGGAATGCAACTCATTCCTCTTTTCAAATAATTGTTAAGTATCTTTTTTGTAGGAGACTATATGGAATACGGATCAGTCTAGTATTATGTGTTCAAAACTGAGAGACTTTCAGAAAATTGCTTTCAAATAACATGTTATGGTATTGAATACACATTTAGATAGCAGACATTAATGAAAACAGTTTCTCCAGAATAGGGAGAGGAGTTAGATTTTTAAAGTCTGCAAAATTTCCTTTTGAATGTCATAAAACTTAAGATACTGTTAAGAAAACAGCAAATAATGGAAGATATTACATCCAACATTGGTTACACCTGCCAGATGAATTTTAAGGGTTGTCTAACAGCAGGATTAGAAAAACAGACCTTAGAAGGGCCTGAGGAACTCATTGCTTAAATTACAACTGGAGTAAGAAAAAATAGATCACAAGTGAACTTACACGAGCCCTACACTTAAAATATTTTAATCAGGTGTCCTAAAATATATTTGTGTCTGTAGGAAGAGTCATATAAGGACTTCTATGACAGCGTAAGTGCTAAAGGATTATCTGTCAACCACGTACTGATTCTGATACAGTCTGAAATATGATGAGACTCAAACTTTAAAGGTTTACTCTGACCAGTTCCCTGAGTTTTCTGGCACAAAAACTCCCCATAGAGGCAGGGGATTGACAGCTATAGAAGATCTTTTAGATGTTGAAGAAATAGCACACTGCAAGTGGTTATTAAATTTAATATAACAGATTTGGGGGGGAGGGGGTTCCTTGCCCTGACCTTAAAAAGGAATTGCTTTGTCTCTCGGGTATGACAACAAGCAATCCTGACTGAGAATCCTGAGACTGTCCTTAGACATTGAGAAAATTACTTTTATTTTTTTAAATGGCGAGAATATTAGAAATGAGAGGAACTCTATTTTGGGAGTTACAAAGAACTTGTTAATGTCCAATAGGTCTGTCAATGTTTCTGTTTTATGGAATAAAGGTGTTCAGGCAGTGTTGGATGTCTAGTCAGTACTTACAGTTCTTGACAGTATTACTGATGGATTCCACCAGTTTCTTCATAGTCTTCTGGTCCATGCTAAGTGTGGCTTCAACACACTGCAGAATTCTGACACCCTAGTTCCACCCTGCGTGTCCTGGGGTGCCACTGATTCCACAGTTCACTACTCTATGCCCAAAGAATGTGACCATGGCAACATTCCAGCAACCAAACACAGAAGGTTCTCAAGTGATTGGAAAAATGTGCAGCAAGGTTGTTACCACCCAATATAAATGCAGTGATTTCATTAATGTTATTGTGATTTGAAATATCTACAGCAATCCCAACATTTATGGTTTTTGTAGGGCTAACCACTTTAGATAGTACTTCATATTACTGTCATTTATTTTTCCTTAGCACAAACTGTATGGTTGAAAATGTTTCCTTCCTATCTAAATACCTAATTGAGAATTAAGTAAGATCATCAAGGCTTTAACACCGAAATAAAATATTTTTTTCCAGGCTATAAATAGCTCCTTCAAAGGTTATAACCTCCTTTAAAAACTCTAACTAATGGGTACCTGAGTGGCTCAGTCAGTTGGGTGTCCAGCTATTGGTTTCACCTCAGGTCATGATCTTGGGGTTGTGGGATCCAGCCCTGCGATGGGTTCCATACTTGGTGGGAAGTCTACTTCAGATTCTTTCCCTTTGCCCCTCCCCTTGCTCATGCATGCTCTCTCTCTACACCTAATAAATTCTTTTTAAAAAGTTAAAAAATAAAACTCTAGGTACTCTCTCATGATCACCAAAGAGAGACTTCAGTCTGGGAGGTCCTAGAGAAATGTAAAGCGACACTTGTACCCCTCACTGACTGGTAAGAAAGCATGCTGAGACCATGCAAAAAGTGGCCAAAACAAAAACTGTTCTAACTCTTGTTTACTGCCCGATCCTAATACAGAGAACAAACATCTCCTAGTCTACGTTTGCTAACTTTCACTATGGTAAGGCAAGAAAATGTACTAAACTGATGTTTAGAATTTAGGACACTATATTCATACAGATTTTATTTTATTATTTTATTTTTAAAAATTTATTTATTTATTTATTTATTTTTTATTTATTTATTTATTTATGATAGACATAGAGAGAGAGAGAGAGGCGCAGAGACACTGGAGGAGGGAGAAGCAGGCTCCATGCAGGAGCCTGACGTGGGACTCAATCCTAGGTCTCCAGGATCAGGCCCTGGGCTGCAGGCCGCGCGAAACCGCTGCGTCACCGGGGCTGCCCCAAATTTTAAATAAGAGTTTTAAAATAAAGCAAATACAACTGGGACAAAAAAGCTTTTCTGAACTTTTCTTTAGGAGAATGTTCATTGAATTTTAGTTGAATACCAGCAATGTTTTAAAAGAGTGAAACCTGTCACTTTAAGTTTGAAGAGTAACGATCTCAATTTCTCTGAGGCTAGTCTACTGTTCTTCATCAAATGAAAGAATATTAGACAGCAGGCTTTTAGCACACCTTGACTGAAGCAATACATCTACCCTTTGGATAAACTAAATTCAGGACACTCTTATGGTATTTAAAACACTTAACTAGGGATGCCTGGGTGGCTCAGCAGTTGGGCGTCTGTCTGCCTTCGGCTCAGTGCGTGATTCCCGGATCTGGGATGGAGTCCTGCATCGGGCTCCCTGCATGGAGCCTACTTCTCCCTCTGCCTGTGTCTCTGCGTCTCTCTCTTTCTGTCTCTTATGAATACATAAAATCTTAAAAAAATAATAATTAAAAAAAAGAACACCTAACTATACTAAAGGGCAACTACATGAATTCAAAACAACCAGATAAAGAAAGTACTGGTATAAATTCAATATTTTGATTCAGACACTCATCAATTTTGTTGCAGTTACCTTGGCATTATCCAAATAACATGCCCTGTGTTTATAAAATTGGTGTAAAATTAATCAGGAAAAAGGGTGGTTTGATGGGAGGAGGAAGTATGAGATTTGCAAATATCACTTAATTAAATTTTCTTCCCATACCTTATTAAAAAGAAGACTGTTAAGGCTACCATCAGAGGAAGAAAGGGGAACCCTCTTACACTGCTGGTGGGAATGCAAGCTGGTGCAACCACTTTGGAAAACATTATGGAGGTTTCTCAAAATATTAAAAATAGAGCTACCCTACAACCCAGCAACTGCACTATTGGGTATTTACCCAAAACATATAGAGGTAGTGAAATGAAGGGGCACCTGCACCCCAATGTTCATAGCAACAATGTCCACAAAAGCCAAACTATGGAAAGAGCCCAGATTTCCATCGACAGATGAATGGATAAAGAAGCTGTGGTAAATATATACAATGGAATATTAACTCAGCCATCAAAAAAAAAAAAAATCTTTCCATCTGCTACAACGTGGATGGAACTAGATAGAGAGCATTACGCTAAGTGAAATAAAGTCAATCAGAGAAAGATAATTATCATATGATCTCACTCATATGTGGAATTTGAGAAACAAAACAGAGGAGCATAGGGGAAGGAAGGGAAAAAATAAAACAAGATGAAATCAGAGAGGGAGATAAACCCTAAGAGACTGTTAATTATAGGAAACTGGGGTTGCTGGAGGGGAAGGGGTAACCGGATGAGGGCATTAAAGAGGGCATTTGATGTAATGAGCACTAGTGTTATATACAACTGATGAATCACAGAACTCTACCTCTGAAACTAATAATACATTATATGTTAACTGAACTAAAAAAAAAAAAAAAAAAAGGTTACTAGCAGAGGAACAATGAGAAAAATGTCAACATAGTCTGGAAAGAATACAATTTTTTTTGTCAGGTCACCTTCTTCCTCAGTTTAGTAACAGTTGCTTCTAATGGGACATAATCATCATGTACTGGGCCAGTTTACAAAGGAACACTTCTAAGTTCATACCAAAACTCATCACCAAATAACCTGATAAACTTGTCTTTTAGCACTTTTGTGAACAATCTTAAGAAACTTCCTTTTGGATAAAAAATGTCCCTCAAACTTGCTGTGTACTCAAGAGTATACAGATATCTTTTATTAGGAAAAAGAGTATGAAGCTTTAAGCATAAAATTTAAGGAAGCTTACCGGGAAATATATTTTTACAGCTAAAAACTTGGGGACATGTCTTATCCACTTACCACCTAGCAGTGTTTCTTGATCTTTAGAACTTTACTTCGGACTTAAAGGAAGCTGATAAGAACACAGCTATTTTTAAGTAAAATAGCTATTTATTCAGCCTCTTGTCATGCCAAAATGTTTTGTGCATATATCACTATAATTAGCACACCCTTTGTAACAGGCAAAATTGTACATCAAATTATATTTCATGTTACCTGATTATATAAAAATGTAAAGTGAAAATGATTTATCAATTCCTTTTAACATTACTAGTAAACAATTCAGCAGTAGATATGAGGCACAAAATCTTAGTAAAATATGACACAGGAAGAGCAATAATGTAATTCTCACTTAACTTGTCATCATTTGTTATGAATATACAAAGACAAATTTCTAAAATGTTATATTTACTAAGATTCTGGCAATAGCTTTATGTAACAAGACACAGCATACCAGGCCTGCCACTCAATTGTTTATGGTTAAGTCTCAGCTTCAATATGAAGCTGTTAAAAAAAAAAAAAAAAAAACCAAAAGCTTGCTTTGTTTACATGCTAAGTATCTTGGCAAGTATGCCATTAAACACAGTAAGGAATTTAAGATAGCAAGAATAAAGAATTAATAAAAGCTAAACATTGCAGCCTAAACAAAATTCTTACAAAAATAAAATAACTATCACTGGTTACATAAAATTTTCCTGACTGGTTAAAACTTAACAGTATAAAACATGCATTTTAAATCTTTAGCTATCAAGTTCAAAAAGTACCAGTGTCTATTTTAAATGATTCTTCTCCAAAGCCAAAGTTGTAGTCAAAATTAATTCAAATGTTATAACACATTCTAATGCTAAAAAACATTCAGTATTATTGAAGTGGAGGTAAATTCCAGAGCTTCTGGAGCTCTGTCATGCTGCAAAGGGCTGTTTCTCTGGTTCACTCAAAGCAGCAAACGACAAAGTCCAAAGATGTCTAGGGGCAAGATGGCTATACCCAGCTCTGACCTCCCCATGAAGCATGGCTACTATGTCCACAAAAATAGGATGTGTGAGGATAAAAGGCACACTATTCTGCTAGCTAAAGAGATAGCAAACCACCCCCCAACCCTAAAAGCTCCTTCCCCAGGTAAATAAAAGTATATAAGGGGAAAAAATTAAAATACATTTATCTACAGAATAAGGATTTTGAAGTATCAATGTGATCCCTATTTCAAAAATGTTAACTAGAATTATCTGGTCATTGCTAATTACATCTTAGTGATGTATCCAGATTCGATTTCTGTTGATTTATCAATAGATACTTCTAGTCAAAAATATTAACTTTATCCCCAAATATCTTAACCACTAGCACAACTGCAATGTATTATCTCCCCGAGTTGTTAAGCACTGGAAGAGAAAAAAATAGATGTTCAAGCAGCAGGCAACAATTATGGCCCTTTCACACAGCGGCACCCGAGTGGCTACTGAATAGTCCAGGAATAATTCTAAAAACAAGAAAATTCATGCATTTTAGTAATTATGTCATAATTTTCACAGTTGAAATTTCCTTAGACATTGCACTTTCTTTATAAGGGAATCCTGATTTTTCTTAATGTTACGGTGAGTCAGGACTTGAACTAGCAGCCTTCTTTTTCTTCTTCTTACTGTGTTTCTTATGCTTCTTTTTCTTTTTTGTTTTTTCCTGTAAAGATAGTTCCCGGTTAGATATTTCTGCAGGAAAGTACGCAAATTAAAAACAACTTTACCATGGTCCTTTTAAACTACTATATAATTATTTCAAACAATCTAGACAACAAGGGAACTACTCAGAACATTTTTAAAAAGTCGCAATAATCAATAATATGAGGACTTAAGAGTCCTTGTTGATTTTCAAAAAGACAAAAACTCTAAGTCGTTAGCACAAAAATGTAGCTTTTAAACAAAATTTCCTGTAGAAAATAAATTCTATGAATAATAATAT